TATGGCCTACGGCTGGAGTGGTGTGTTTGCCGGTAGTGCCACATGTTTTTACGCCTATGTCGGGTATGTATTGTGTATTTTTTGTGTGTGTATAGGTAGGGGTAGAGTGTGTATGTGTGTAGTTGTGTAGGTGTGTAGGTGTGTAGATGTAGTGTATAATAAAATCAAAATTGATTATATATTTGTTGTTTGGTCTGTATATACATATAGATTTGATTCAATAAGCAGTTCCGGTGAAGAGGCCCGCAATCCTAAGAGATCCATACCGTTGGCAACGTTTATGTAAAGCCTTTATATAAAAATTTTTAAAGCAATTAATTTGTTGTTTAATTAATTGATCCCTAATTGGTTTGTTTGTGTGTTTCAAAGATCAATGACATTTGTTATCCTATGTGGCCGTATCGGCTGTCCTGACACTGATGATACCCTACAATGAAATTAATGCCGAATCAGGACTACCCGATGCTTTCGGCTCGCACGGAGCCGTTTGGGCCAAACTGGTGGTTATAGTCGGGGCATCGTGCGGTATGGTTACTGTCCTCATTGGTACAATGTATTCGCTAACCCGAATAGTCTATGCCATGTCCGACGACGGGCTACTGTTTTCGTGGATGGGATCAGTCAATCAGCGGACACAGTTACCACTGAATGCAATGTATTTTTTTTGCATCACTGGGCGCACTGATGGCACTGTTCATCGATATAACTACACTCATCGAAATGATGTCCATCGGTACGCTGATTGCCTATCTGGTGGTCAGTGCATCGGTAATAGTGATCCGCTACGAGCCGACACTACAACAGGACGACCAGTTGGTCGGCGGCGGTGGCGGTCATTATCATCAGCCGGGTATCGGACAATATCACGATACTATGGCCAACAATCAAGAACTGAACGACCTATCAGTGGACTCGAGCGGTGGCGGTGTCGGTGCCGGTGAAGCCAACAAACTGTTGGCCACCGCTGAAACCGATTCGCTGGGTTCGTCATCGCATAGTCGACGACAAAATACTGTATTAAATTTGATCCGTTATTACGATTGTCGTGATTATCTTCGGCTGGCAATAGCCAGATATGCACCGAAATCCATGGTATCCATAGCTGTCCTGTTTCTAGTGGTTCTACTGTTTGTATTTTGTCTGTCAATCAAACACTTTAATCGGGTAAACAATTTTTTTGCAATTAAATTATTTTATTTTTTTTAATTTTTAAAATATATATATGAATTATAATTAATTAATAAATTTTTTTGTTGGTATTATTTCCAGACAAATCACTATACATTTCAGGTTACAGTAATAACATTGCTGTCAATAGTAATACTATTGATAACAATATGTATTGGTATACAGAAACAAAATATGGTACCCCTTGGTGGCGATACATATAAAGTACCATTGGTACCCCTGGTACCTGTATTGTCCATATTTTTTATTATATTATATTAATTATTGTTTTTTTATTTAAAAATTTAATATAATAGTAACAGCCGACAGATGGCTACTCATAATTATCACTTATTTATCAGCTTTTAATATCTATATATACTTATGCTTTTCATTGTTATAATCAGTAGCAATCAGTTATTCAAATATACAACATTATGTACGTTAAACATTAAAAAACTATTATTCAATTTTTAACTACTTGTTAATTGTTGGCCATTCAATCAACGGGATAACAATTTTGGCGCAGTCGGCAGGATCCCACACAGGATCACCTTCAACATAACTCACCTGAAATCATCGGACATGCCGGTCTACAACACCAGAAGCCGCACACGAAGACGTGTTGCTCAATCAATGGTTCACAGACACATAGCCGAAGCATATCGCGCTGTCACAACCGATTCGCGTAACAGTGGTCAGACTACGGTCAGAGACGTAAGCGACAGAGACACCGAAACCGTTCTCACCGAACGGGTCTCGCGGTTGCGCACAACCAACAGTCCAGTCTTACCGCAATTGTCGAACACATGTAACGGAAACGGAAGCGCATATCAAACTCGCTCACAACCGGCGCCATTTTCAGCAAACACTTGCATTGATTTCGGTGACGCAATCGCCGCTACTCATCACAACACATACTATACCGAATTATTATGCGACAAATATTCGGGTTCCGACTCATCTGTAACTATAGAGGAATGGCTCGACGTCTTCTCCTTTCTTACCGCCGACATCACTGAAGATAAACAAAAGATGGTCGTCTTAGCTCGACATCTCTCAGGTGATGCACTCTCATGGGTTGCCAGAGAAATTGTTCCCCACGGACACACAATGTCATGGCACCGCTGCCGTGAATTGATGATCAATCAGTTTGGTCGTCAAACCACAAACCCGTTGATAGAAGCACTTCAACGCTCACTACAACGAAACGAATCAGTCACTTCATATTACAATGACATGAGACGGTTGACACAAAGAGCCGGTCTCTCTGACGACAACACAATAGCCGTGTTAACTAATGGTATTCCCGAAACCTAACGTTATCATCTCGGATCTCTTCGTCCTAAGACACCATAAGAATGGTTTGAGGTCGCCTTAGGCATAGAGTCCGCTAAAACGAAGCGATTCGGCGAATCCATCGACACTCGCGAAAACCTCACTCACCACTGATGACAACAGTTCGTATTGCATACAAGTCCAGGCACCGAACAGTTCACATCACATTATTACAGCGAAAAATAATGTCAAACCAGACGCTGAAAACTCAACAATTGAGTTCTCATCAGTCGTCACTCCGTTGGAGTTACCGTCACAATCAGTTAAACAATTGTCTGAAATACAAAGCACTGCCAAACAGTCTTCACTCACTTTCAAGACAATTGATAAACAAAAACATTGCCGTCAAATCACGTTGAACACAAACAAATTGTCGTTTAACAAAACAGTTGTCGCTCATACTGACTTTATTAATGATAATCACAGCGTCAGTACCGACAATGGCATGACTAATAATAATAAAACAACCGAAAGTCGATACAAAAACGATGGTTCACAAAAACCGACAACAAACAAACAAATTGCCAAACAATTGGTACGCCAACCAACCAATGGACTCATCGACACATTGACAGATAATACACGAACTGTACCAGATCGTCGTCGTCAACAGTCACCCATCGTTCACCGAAAATCTCGTTGGCCACCGCCCTGGTCTTTGTCAGCGGGGGAATGACAGCCGGCAGATGGCTATTCATAAATAAATCATAAATAACCGCTTTTTATATCTATATATACTTATGCTTTTTCATAGTTATAATCAGTTGCGTTCAGTTATTCAATATTATACGACATTCAGTAGTTAAACATTAATAAAATTTATTCAATTTTAATTACTTGTCGTAAATTGTTGGCCTAATCACTCTTCGGCCTAACAAATTATATGATTGGGCAGATAATATACAGTCGACTGTTAAAAAATTGTAAAAATTAGAGTCGACTGCAATTATCTGCCCAATGATGCAATTAATTAAAAAATGACCAATTACAATATTATCCAGTTTAAAATTATCTACAACATTGCCACCTTGGTCGCTTTTAAGTCCAACGTATTGTTGACCAAATAATTGAAATTAAAAGCATCGCCGCTGTCGTAGTCGGCACCGCTGATTAAGAGTCTCAATAAATTATATTTTTTATATTATTTTTTAATAAATTAATATTAAATATTTTTATGAGGTAAATAGTCTTAATAATTTTTATTATAAAAAAATTAATTAAATTTGGTGGTGGTGGTGGTGGTGGTGGTGGTGGTAGTGGTGGTGGTRGTGGTGGTACTGTATTAGTAAGTATTACTTAAAAAATTAATTATTTTAAAAGATAAAAATTACTAAAATACTAAAAAATAGTGTATCATTAATGCTTTGATTGTGGTAGTAGTGGTGGTGGTAGTAGTAGTAGTAGTAGTAGTGGTAGTAGTAGTGGTAGTAGTAGTGGTAGTAGTAGTGGTAGTAGTAGTGGTAGTAGTAATGGTAGTAGTGGTAGTAGTGGTAGTAGTGGTAGTAGTGGTAGTAGTGGTAGTAGTGGTAGTAGTGGTAGTAGTGGTAGTAGTGGTAGTAGTGGTAGTAGTGGTAGTAGTGGTAGTAGTGGTAGTAGTAGTGGTAGTAGTGGTAGTAGTGGTAGTAGTGGTAGTAGTGGTAGTAGTGGTAGTAGTGGTAGTAGTGGTAGTAGTGGTAGTAGTGGTAGTAGTGGTAGTAGTGGTAGTAGTGGTAGTAGTAGTGGTAGTAGTGATCTATTATTTTGGTAATCTTTGACTATAGTAACTATATTTTTTTTAGTACAGTTATCTTTTCTATATAACTATAACCAACAAAAATAAATAAAATAAAATCTGCTTTATTGACGCAAATAGAAAAATGATATATAAATTAATATATTTGTCTGTAGTTAATTATTATTTTTAAAAAATTATTAAAACCAATTTCGACAAAAAATATTTTATATTAGTTTATTAAATAAAAATATAAAAACATCTGCTTTATAAAAATTTTAATATATTTAGTAAATAAAATATTTTTTGTATATTAATAAAAATGGCACTATTTTTTTTAAAAAAAATGACAAAAATACTATAGAAAATAGTTATTTATTTTAATATTTATTCATAGATTTAAACAAAATATAATGTTATTTCTATCAATGATTATGATATAGTATAAACATAGATTAAGACATTAGTGGGCCAATAACCTAAATATCTCGATCTCAAAAGGGGGTAAGATAACCTTACCCCCCCCCAATTTGCTACCCTGATAATTTATTTAAAAAAAATAAAACTAATTTCAACATAATGTTATTTACTGAAGTATATCATCAATGATTATCACAATATCACAATAATCTAATCAATACACACATACACACACACACACACTTACATATTTTTTTTTAATAAGAGTATTAATTAGTTAAATAAAAAATTTAATTTATTAGTTTCAAAAACAATTATTTTTTTACTTAAACAAATTTTTTTTATAAATAATTAACTTATATTATATATATATATATTTAATGTTATTATTAATATTATTATTTTTCATTATTTCCTTTTTCGTACGGCTGTAATTCAGATTTTTCTTCAAGATTTCTGACTAGATTATGAACACGACGAACATATGGTGAATAAGTATGACTACTACTGTGTTCATCATTATTATGTTGATCTGGACTGTTATGTTCATCGGCACTGTTATGTTGATCTGGACTGTTATGTTCATCGGCACTGTTATGTTGATCTGGACTGTTATGTTCATCGGTATTATGATGATCATCATTATTGAAACAACTGTCCATGATCATTGCATAGATTACTATTTATAGATAAATTAAGACAAATAAATAAAATTAATAATTAAATGTTTATATTTTGTTTTTTAAATTTAATAATAATAATAATAAAATTATTAATTAAAAAAAGAATAATAATAATACCAATCATTGTGATAGCAATTAAACAAAATTTAGACATTATTTTCTGTTTTGTGGTTAATTTGTCTTATTTTTTTTCTCTCTCTCTCTCTATCAAAGTTTAATACAATACTGATTACTTTTAAAAATTTATTAAATAATAATATTTTTTAAAATATGGTATTTTTCATATTTAATTAATTTTTTTCTAATAAAAATTATTAAGACTATTTACCTCATAAAAATATTTAATATTAATTTATTAAAAAATAATATAAAAAATATAATTTATTGAGATAGTCTTAAACAGCGGTGCCGACTACGACAGCGGCGATGCTTTTAATTTCAATTATTTGGTCAACAATACGTTGGACTTAAAAGCGACCAAGGTGGCAATGTTGTAGATAATTTTAAACTGGATAATATTGTAATTAGTCATTTTTTAAATAATTGCATCATTGGGCAGATAATTGCAGTCGACTATCATTTTTACAATTTTTTAACAGTCGACTGTATATTATCTGCCCAATCATATAATTAATTAAAAAAATGACCAATTACAATATTATCTAGTTTAAAATTATCTACAACGTTGTCCTTGGTCACTTTTAAGTCCAATGTATTGTTGACCAAATAATTGAAATTAAAAGCATCGCCGCTGTCTTAGTCGGCACCGCTGTTTAAGACTATCTCAATAAATTTTATTTTTTAATAAATTAATATTAAATATTTTTATGAGGTAAATAGTTTTAATAATTTTTATTATAAAAAAAATTAATTAATTATGAAAAATACCATATGTTAAAAAATATTATTTTATAATAAATTTTTAAAAGTAATCAGTATTGTATATTAAACTTTGATAGAGAGAGAGACTGTCACTACATTATTGAGATTATATTGCTTAAGAAATCAATTAGTTATATGACTATATCTACCATTTTTGTTCACATAAATAATTATTAATTATAATTAAACATTTGTTTAATTTTTTTGTTTAATTTTATTATTTATAAATATTACTACTTTGTCTTAGCTATTTTTAATAATTTATTTTGTTTAATAAAAATACTTAACATATCAAACAGATATACAATAATTATTAATTTATATTAAATTTATATTAAATACGTCAATCATTATATGATTATTATCTAATTGATCTAATATTGATTGTCAATTTTAGTTTACTTATATTATTTCATATATTGATTGTTTTAATAAAAAATTGATAACAATTTTTATGAGATTTATTGAAAAAGATGATGAAAACAATAAATTATTAAATATTTTTTTTAATAATTACACTAAAACTAATGATTTTCAATAATATAGATATAATCTCTATAATCACTAATAATAAAAATAATAAAATAAAAATAAACATAATTATCATTTATAAGACAACTATTCAAAAAGACAAAAAAATAGTTTACAAATAAATTCAACAATAAATTTGAAGATTAATGGCTATGAATATGGTTTATCAAACTCAAGCTAATAGTTATTAAGAAAATTATTCAATTTAAACATAAATTTTTATAAAATCAATAAAAATTATTTCCGACATCAGGTCATCGGTGTCTGGATTTTTTTTTGATGAAAACCATTAATCTATAATTTTTTATTAAATTAATATAAAAAATAGATTCAAAAAATAACTGTATAAAACAAACTTAATTATAATTTTTGGATTTATTAGTATTATATATTTAATAATTAATTAATACTTATTATTGAATCTAATAGTATTTATTTTATATTATAATTTTTATAACCAAATTGTTTTATTAATAATTTGATACATAGTTTCTATAGTTTATATAGAAATAACAATTGATTTACTAATTGATAAATAATATAATTTATATATATTCGTAAAAATAAGATTAAATTATTATAAAATTTTACATTTAGTTGTAAATAATTCAATATTGTTATATATTATATATCTATATAAATTTACTAAATATTTGATATTTTTACAATATCTATAATAATTAACAATTTTATGTAAATATGATAAACTAAAAATATTTGTATTAATGAAACAATATACTTTATATTACAGAAATTTTATTGTAATTTAATAACTAGATTAAATGTATTTTATTATTTTATTATATATAACTTAAAAATAACTAAAAATTGTAAAATAGTGTTAATTTACGAGATTTAGATAAAATTGTAATCATTTATATTTTCCTATAAATATAAATATCATATAAGTTGATATCCAGTACATACTGTATCTGTTTATTATAATATTTTGTTTAACAAATTCAGTTAATTATATCAAACAATTAGTGATTATATGGTATACATTATGTGCTATCATATCATCAATGGATAGTATAATATCACCGGAAGGGTGTGGTGTGGGCCGCGAGTCAGTGCTGATGAACGGCCAGTGTTTCCGCTGGTATGCAAACTATACACAACAACAGGACATACAGTTTGGACGATCGGCCAAACCGGGAGAAGTGCCGTTTGCGGTATATATTCACAAATATAAGAAACTATGGATATTTCCTTACGGGGAAAGGTATATCAATATAATAATTATTAATAATAATTATATAAATACTGTATATTAAATGACAATTTATATTATTTAAAACAAATACTATGAAAAATAAATTATTATAGTATGTGTTCGGGTTCAATATTAAATGATCGATGGATTATAACAGCAGCACATTATATATATAAGTATGTAATTTATAAAAAACAAAAAATCATATACAAATTATAATCAATACTTAAATTTTAAGTTTTACAATTATTATATACAGTATATATATGTAAATAATTGTTCAAAATACTAATAAGCTAAATCAAATAGATATTTTATGAAAATTTAAAGAAAAGTTATTTGATATACAACTAAAATATTTTTATAATTAAATAATAATTTTGTTTACAATTAAAATAAAGATTACAACACTTAATATTATATTATAATCTTGGGGAAAAAATAGTAATTAATTGACACCAAAACAAATACATTTCATAAGATTTATATTCAATTGAAAACATTATATATATATATATATTTCTAAAATTTACAACAAATTATATTATAATTTATTATAATTTAAGAAATGGTTATTACGACAAATCGGATTTTACTAATTATTACATATATTTATTAATATATATATATATACTATAATAAATAAATTTTAAACTAATAAAATTGTTTTAATAAAATTTAACATTTAAATTTAAAACTGTACAATACTATTGATATTATTATATTATAAAAAAATAATAAAAAATAGTTATATGTTTATTAAACTAAAAATTATACAAAATAATAATAATTATAATAAATTTAGCTAAAATATTTTGAATATATAATTAAGTGTAGTAAATACAGCCAATCCCATCCACATTCCCAATAGTCCGCCTAAATTTGATATTAACTCAATTCGGGTCATTTGGGGGCTGTGCTCAACCAACTGATCCGAATTCGACATATGCCTGATATAAGCGATAACCGATAAGTTGTACTTTTGATTATATTTATTACTTTTAAAATCAACTTTACTTTTGTCCAACAAACTCATAATATATTTATAATCATAACATGAATCTTGACATCGATTATCGCAAATTTTACGTATCGGTAGTCTACAATCAACATAATTAACATATTTATTACATGTAATTGACACATTATCATTAACCAAATAGTCAGGTATTAGACTAACATCCCAAGGCATACATCGATTACAGTTAAGATAGTTCCGGTTATTGCCATCAACAACACCAACACCACAACAATCATTATTTGTCGCCATATGTTGTCGAATACATCGATAGATACACTCGAATCTGGTTCGCGGCTGCTTTTGGTCACTACCGGTGTTACTGTAATCATAAATATCATATTCTTTACAATTGGTGTCCCATTTTGGAGGCAATCGTATGGTTTTGATTGTCAAATATCCGATACGATAAAAATTATTCATATATAATGGGAAAGTATTATCGCTAAACTTGTCGAGTGGTGTATTATTTCCCGAATGCATTATCAGTGTCAGCGGCGTATTGTCGTATAATGATGTCGGGAACCAATCTTTATTATGTCCGATTATAAAACTTATTTCTTCCAAATCTTTATTGTATTTTACAAAATCGGGATTAAGTTCAGTGAAAAAAGATAAACATTTTGCCGGATAAGCAAACTTTGTAAATGATATAATTGGTCGAAAATCACTAATTGGTATTGTCTTTGTATTGTTGAATGCCGTAATCCTAGCAAATATATATTGACCATTAATTATCTTATCTAAATCCCATTCGTAAGTTGTATTGATTATCCTATGTGGTACTGTTATATTGCTATCGTATAGATCTCTCAATGGCAAACGTTTGTTAATATAATAATTGACAAATTGTTTATAAATTTCCTCAAATGTTAACTTTTGGGTATAATTTTCATAATTATTGTCACTTACATTGTCTATCAATTGTTTATAAAGACTATAATTATGCCGTAACTCAGGAAACCGATCGGCTAAAGCATCCATACGTAAAGCGTACGGAAAACAGATGGTAAACCCGGGTAACGATTCATTGTTTAGACGAACATATTTAGTACTAACCAATGTCTTACCGCTATTATATTGTTTGTATAATAGATGTGAATGATATGTCAATAGTATTCCGCAAACAATAAACAATACAATTTTTATAACTGTCTGGCGTTTCTGTCGGTCAGTCATTTCCAACCATTTAGTCTTAAGCTTATTGATCGACTGTTGATAAATATTTTCAGACATTTCTGGATTTTCAGGCATTTCTGGATTTTCAGACGTTTCAGGAATTTCTGGATTTTCAGTCATTTCTGGATTTTCAGACGTTTCAGGAATTTCTGGATTTTCAGTCATTTCTGGATTTTCAGGTATTTCTGGATTTTCAGGCATTTCTGGATTTTCAGGCATTTCATAATTTTCAGGCATTTCATAATTTTCAGGCATTTTAGTCATTTCAATCATTTCAATCATTTCAGGCATTTCAGGCATTTCTGGATTTTCACTATTTTGAAACATTTTAAATAATAACAATTCAGACAAATTTTTGTTTATATAAATATCATAAACACTATTGCTTTGCATTTTAACAGTTTTAGATTATATCAAATTTATAACAATAAACAAATGAAATATTAAATGTATATTGTATTTTTTATATAAATTTAATTTATATCATACAGTATATATACAGTACATAAATATATATTTTAAATTATATTATTTCTTTTTAAAAAAAAATTTAATATTCTGTTTGAATAAACAAAATTATTTCATAATAATATTAAAATATATTATTCAGTTTAATAAAAAAAATTATTTATTTGTATTATTCAACTTATATTGAAATTATTGTTTAATCAGTTGTAAATTACAAAATATATTTTTTAATTATCACCCATTAATTTGCATACACTGTATGAAATAAACATATATTTTTTTAAAAACACAATACTATTTATTATACAAATTTTTATTGAATCAGAATTTTAATTTTCATAGATTTGATTTTTTTTAAAAATTTATTTAACTTTTATAAAATTTGAAATTTTTATTATTTAACTAATATATTGTGATTGACATATTTGGTTAACCTGTTTGCGCATAATTTTAGTTATTTAGTAACTAAAAGTAACGATATTTATATCTATTTTTTTAATATGTTGTCTATCAAAATGCTTTATGTCTTGTATTATATAATTTACTATAATATTTACTCATATATGTAATAACTAAATAAAATTATTTTTAATAAATAAATAAATTAGAAAATAAGTTAATTTATTATTTAAAAAAATGATTTTATTATTAAATTTTTTATAAAATACAAAATATTATTATATTTATTACTATTAATTATAAAAATAATAACTTACTATATCCTGGAAAATAATAATAATAATAAAAGAAATTTTATTAATTTATTCAACAATTAAAAACTATAGTATTTTTACATTAGATAATCTTGTTATTTAAAAAACAATAATTATATCTATAAGTATCAATATTTTACATACTTTTGTTGTTGTTTGTATTTTCAGCTAACATAAATAATCAAAAAATTAAAAAAAATAAAATAAAATTATAGTTTGTTTAGTTGTATTGTATATCCCTGAGCTAACACTACTTGTATTATACAATTTATAAACTAAATACAATATATGTATATACTATGTTAATAACTAAATATATAACTAATAAATATATATATACAGTATAATAAATATAATAATATAAAATTTTTTATTATTTTTTTTTAAAAAAACATGGTTTATAATTACTGTTAACACTAGGTATTTAAAATTGGTCATGTATTATTACAATGTTTACAAAAACATTATTAATTATACAAAAAATTTTGTCTCTGCCAACACTGATAATGGATACAGAAATTTTTGGTACTAAACTAATTTATAATAGTATTAACACATTATATTACAGCTCCGGGATGTGGGGGATAGGGATGTTGTCTATATCTGAAAAAACAATTTAAAAAAATATTGAAATTCTATATATAAAAAAACATAATATACTATAAATACAATATCATTAGAAACATGTTTTTTAAGAATTATTTTCTAAAAAATTGTATTGTAATTGAATGAAAAATTAATTAATTAATTAAAATTGTAATATTTTTTAAAATAAAAGCGTAGACTAAAAGTGTCTTGGTATATTGTTTATGTAATTACTTGAATTAAATTTTATAATTAATATTTTTTTAAAAATATTTTTAAAGATAAAATTATTGTTTTATTTTTTTAAAGATATTCAAAAAAATAAAACATTTTCGACTATTATATGAACATTTTGATAGACAATATAATACCGGTATATAAATAAATAAATATAGATATTGTTATTATAATTAAACTATAACTATATAATTATATGTAAAACAGTTGAACCAAATATGTCAAAAACATATTAAAAACTGTTATTCAGTTAGATATCAAATATACTGTTTATATATAAATTTTATTTAAATAATTAATATATTTGTTATTTAATTGAATAGCTGTCTTTGTGTAAATAATGATAAATTAATTTATATATATATATATATAAAAGTTTTACTTGTAATTCAATAATCAGACTAAATATATAATATATATTTTTTATCAATGATTTTATATACAGTATTATGTATAATAAATGCTAATTCAAACTGTTTTTTATTAGTTTTGCATATATTTATTAAATTATTAAATGTTATTTGTTTAAAAGGGTTACAATTATATTATAATAATAATAATAATAATTACAATATACATAATTTATATATATATATACACATTCAATAAATTAATTATCATGCTTAAAAATAATTAACAATATCAATAATATTGTATGGCATATATTTATAATCAAAATTAATTAATTAATTATCATATAATAGTAATTAACAATTTTTTGAATATTATAATATAAATAATAATAATAACAAAAATAATTTTCAATAAATAATATTTTTTAAATTGCTAATAAAACTGAAATGATTTGTACTTTTTTAAAGTAAAAAAAATAACTTAAAATACTGTAAGATTTAAGTATAATTATGCGTTAATTTATATTAATTATAAACTTATAATTAATTTATTTTTCATTAACAATATTTTTATATATTTATATATATATATATATATAAATATTTTTTTAACAATCTATATCATCATCACATTTACACAAAATAACAAAATTACTTAATTATATATATATATAATATCAATAAATAATAAATATTTATATATTTGACATTCAATATATAAATAAATATATTTTTTTTAGAAACATAGATATTTATAAATCAATAATAATAATAATAATTATTATTATTTTTAAACAATTTTTTTTATATATATTGTCAATCAATAAGCTGAAGACATGGACACGTTATCGTCAAGTGATCCCCATTTGCGGACATTTTCCGAATTAATTGATTGCAATTGTTTGAAATTGTTATCAATTTTGCTATGATTTATGCCGTAACAAAAATATACAAATAGACCTATTATATTAAATTTTTAAATAAAAAAACAATAATTAATATAATATAATTAAATTTTTAAAAAAAATTATTTTATTTGTTTATACTAACCAACAATCATCCAAACTATAAGCCTAAGCCAGGTTAATGTTTGCAAATTGATCATCAAACCAATGTTAAAAAATATGGACAATACAGGTACCAAGGGTACCAATGGTACTTTATATGTATCGCCTCCAAGGGGTACCATATTTTGTTTCTGTATACCAATACATATGGTTATCAATAGTATTACTATTGACAGCAATGTTATTACTGTAACCTGAAATGTATAGTGATTTGTCTGGAAATACCAACAATAAAATTATTAATTAATCCATATATTAATATATTTAAAAAAATTAATTAAAAAACTGATTACCCGATTAAAGTGTTTGATTGACAGACAAAAAACAAATAGCAGAACCACTAGAAACAGGACAGCTATGGATACCATGGATTTCGGTGCATATCTGGCTATAGCCAGCCGAAGATAATCGCGACAATCGTAATAACGGATCAAATTTAATAAAGTATTTTGTCGTCGACTATGCGATGACGAACCGAGCGAATCGGTTTCAGCGGTGGCCAACTCGTCGATCAGTTTGTTGGCTTCACCGGCACCGACGCCACCGCCGCCGCTCGAGTCGACCGATAGGTCGTTCAGCTCTTGATTGTTGGCCATAGTATCGTGATATTGGCCGATACCGGGCTGTTGCTGCTGATGATGATAATGACCGCCACCGCCGACCAACTGGTCGTCCTGCTGTAGTGTCGGCTCGTAGCGGATCACTATTACCGATGCACTGACCACCAGATAGGCAATCAGCGTACCGATGGACATCATTTCGATGAGTGTTGTTATATCGATGAACAGTGCCATCAATGCGCCCAGTGATGCAAAAAAATACATTGCATTCAAAGGTAACTGTGTCCGCTGATTGACTGATCCCATCCACGAAAACAGTAGCCCGTCGTCGGACATGGCATAGACTATTCGGGTTAGCGAATACATTGTACCGATAAGTACGGTAACCATACCGCACGATGCACCGACTATAACCACCAGTTTGGCCCAAACGGCTCCGTGCGAGCCGAAAGCATCGGGTAGTCCGGATTCGGCATTAATTTCATTGTAGGGTATCATCAGTGTCAGGACAGCCGATACGGCCACATAGGATAGCGTAACAAATGTCATTGATCTTTGAAACACACAAACAAACCAATTAGGGATCAATTAATTAAACAACAAATTAATTGCTTTAAAAATAAATATATTTAAAATTTTTATATAAAGGCTTTACATAAACGTTGCCAACGGTATGGATCTCTTAGGATTGCGGGCCTCTTCACCGGAACTGCTTATTGAATCAAATCTATATGTATATACAGACCAAACAAATGAAAAATTATATAATCATTTTGATTTTATTATACATTACACACACACCTACACACCTACACACACATACACACACATACACACACATACACACACATACACACACATACACACACACATACACACACATACACACACATACACACACATACACACACACATACACACACACATACACACACACTCTACCCCTACCTATACACAAAAAATAGACAATACATACCCGACATAGGCGTAAAAACATGTGGCACTACCGGCAAACACACCGCTCCAGCCGTAGGCCATAAAACCGTTCGGTGCGTTCAGCCAGTTGTCAATGTCGGCAAAATACAGGCCAACAACAATGATGGTCAGTATGACTGCAATGTTGATAATGGAGAATACGTTGTTCAAGTAGGAGGTAATCTTGACACCGGTGGTCATGAATACAATCAATACGATAACAATAGTGAACGCAAACAGATCGACGTGCGATGAAAAATAGTTGAGTCCTATGGACGAGGCCAACGATGCCAGCGTATAGTTACGTATCTGGCCGTTCATTAGCGAGTCGATGTAGGCCGAACAGGCCCTACTGACAGCTGCCGTTCCGATAACATTTTCAAGCACCTGTATGTATATGTGTTTGTTGTTGTTGGTGGTAGTGGTGGTAGTGGTGGTAGTGGTGGTAGTGGTGGTAGTGGTGGTAGTGGTGGTAGTGGTGGTAGTGGTGGTAGTGGTGGTAGTGGTGGTAGTGGTGGTAGTGGTGGTAGTGGTGGTAGTGGTGGTAGTGGTGGTAGTGTTGTTGGAACAGGTAATCAAATAATAATAATTAGAATATATATATATATATACAGAATATTCTGGTATATATTGGTTATACTGTATAATACACTAACCATATTCCAGCCGACAATGAACGACCATATTTCGCCCAGTGCTAGATAAGCATCTGTTTAAATATAATATACATATTAATTAATAGTCAATTAAAACTATGATATACTCTATATTAATATACTGTATATGTATAGCATATATAATATATTTATAAGTTAACTGTACACGAATAGGCTGATCCACATTTTGGAAAACGGCCGGCAAATTCGGCATAACTGAGCGCATTGAGAAACGATGCGATACCTGATATGATAAATGATAGTACAATTGCCGGACCAGATATGTTACGGGCAACCGATGAGGTCAGCACATAGGCACCTGTAGGTGGGGGGGCAGACAGACAAACAAAAATTTAATTAAATAACAACAAACAACAAAATAAATACTAGAAATTAAATTATGATATATTGTTTGACAACACCACAGCATAACTACTAACCTGACCCAACCATATGGCCGATGCCCATCAATACTATATCAAACGTGGACAGACATCTACGTAACTGTGTCTCCATTAGATCTGTTTGTCTATTAATTTGTTTGGTTCTCTTCATTTTGAACCACAGGTCGCTTATGTAGACTTTGGCTGTCGATTGTATATCTCTTGACATTTTTTTTTTGATTGTTGTTTATTATATGTTTGTCTTATTATTATTATTATTATATGTCGGGTGACGACGGATAGGTATCGGAGCTATCGATAGGTAGTAATTGAAATCACAACAGAAATTTAAAAAAAAAACTAAATAATATTAACACTAATAATAATAATTATCATAATTATGATATATTTTTTAATATTAATAGTTAATTAATAAACAATTGATATAAATTCAATATGTTATCAATATATATATACAGTATATACTGTAAGTGTGTGTGTGTTTTGTTTATATTTTTAAAAAATAAAATAATTTATATAAATATATAATAATTATTATTATTTTTGTGATTAATTATTAACAACAGATTGAATATAAAAATTATTATTATTATTTAGAGAGAAAAAAAATGATAACCAATTGTATTATTTAATTAATTAATTCACAACAACAATAACAGTCAATATTGAATAGTTAATTAAAATATAAAAAATAATAATAATATGTTTGATTTAAAAACAAAAATGTTTTATTTATTTATTTTTTTCTCTCTATATCTCTCACAATAGAAAATACAATTTATGTCTACATTTTTTATGATATTATTTTATATATAAATATAAATATATATATAATATATATATAACGCAAGACAACTGACTTTTTCCATTTAATACAATATACAGTATATATATTATCTGTAATTTTCGCGCACATCTATGTAGTGCACAGTTATGCGAAAGAATATGTAGGGCTTTCGGGCAAACACACAGTTAGTTAGGACTAACACTGGTGTGTACAGTATGTGTGTGTGTGTATGTATGTGTGCGTATGTGTCTGTATGTGTGTGTATGTATGTGTGTCTATGTGTTTGTGGTATGAGAAGTGCACTCACATCCAGAATATATATACTGAATACTGTCTATATATATACAGAATATTCTGTATGTATGTGTGTATCTGTGTATGTATGCTTGTGAGTCAGTGTGTATGTATGTATGTATGTATGTGTGTGTGTGTGTGTGTGTGTGTGTGTGTATGCACAACAAAACCAACCGATCGATAGACACACCGATCGAAGAGTGGGAAGTGTGCACTGAGAGAGAGAGAGAGAGAGAGCTCTAGTATACCATTGAGTGATAGCAAAGAGAGCTAATATTTGGTAACGACGGCGGCGGCGGTACTGGACTTACAGTACATACATACATACATACACACGTATAAACAGTATACATACATACATACACATAGTTGTGTCGGTGTGTGTGTGTGTGTGTGTGTAATCGCACACACAGTTTGCTTTTTTTGCTTTGAAAATAGTATAGTATTGTAGTTTTCTCTGTCAACGCGAGTTATAGTATTTTTCCAGTACATGAAATTTACTGTAGATTTTTTGTGTGTTAGAGTAGTCAAAAAAACATTATATAATATATGATATATATTACTGTATAGTTGTTGTAAATTATATATATATATACTGTATATATATAATACATATTGTTTGTACTGATAGTTCAGTGTTGTGTTATTATTATTATTATTATTATTATTATTTGTCGTATACTTAATATTTATATATCTATTAATATCAATAATGAGAGTGCATTTCAATATTATTATTATTTATTATCAAAAAGATAATCATTGCCTAATATAACCGATACATATCTTTATTATAATATTTATTTATTTTTTAAAAAAATTATCTCAATGTGGATATGTATATCAATATTGATAAAAATATATACATATACTGTATATAAAAATTGTTTTTAAAAAAATATATTGCAATTAATTATTAAAAATATATATTAATAAATTCAACAAAATTTTTTGTATGCTATCRCTTTTATGCATTTAATTTTCTAAGTGTTATATTTATCTTTATATTATATAAATTAAATATTATTTATTGTTTTGATGTGTCAATATATGTGTGGCCATAGATAGCGGATATTTAATATTATTATTATTATTATTACTATTGTTTAATAATAATTGGTTGTGTGAAAAGGCCTAAATAAACGCAACAATTTTTTTTGTGTGTGTGTTTTTTTTGTTTAATCAATCAATCAATCAATCAAAAAAACAGTTCAATAGGTAAGTAATTGCTTGAAAAAAAACTTTATAAATGATTGATTTTTTTTTTGAGTTAAATTTATTTGTTATTATTAAATTGAATTTATATATTTCTATTAATATACTATATAAATATATAAATAGTATTTTAGATATGAATGGGAAACTTATATGATATATATATAGATATAAATTATATATAAATTTATTGATGTATTTTATTAAATATTATTGATATATACAGCTGTATATAATCATTATATCATATATTTTTTATATATAATTATATATATATATATTATGTATAAATAATCATTTATTTTAGTTTTTTTCAATATAATATTATTGTATATGTGTCTAATAAAAACTGCACGACAAATCACTTATATATTTTAATTATTGAATTTTATTTAGATATTTATATTTATTTAATTTTTATATATAGTTTTTTGTTTAGTTTTTAATTTGTATACCCGATTGAAATCCTTTTTTTTATATTAATTTATTTACATTATTATTTATTTTATCGACATTAATGTCTAAATAAGTAAAATAAATAACCAAAAAAAATATATTATACTGTTTTTTGTGTTGTTGTTATCTTTATTTTTTTGCATTATATTAATTTATTTAAGTAAATCCAAGAAAATAAATAATAAAAACAAATATATATATATTTATTTATTTATTTATGGCACCTGTTTATACTATACTATAATAAACTATAAAATATTAGTCAATATATATTTATATATAAAATAGATATAGATATATATATATATAATAATAAAAACTATAAAACTATAAAATATTACATATATTTTATTTTCATTAAATTTTATCTCTTTATTGTTATTATTATTTCGTATTTTCTTATTTTTATATATTTATATATATATATATATTTATWTATGATAATACTAAAAATATTAWATTTTTTTCATATTTTTTATGTCATATTTATTTACGACAATTATTTATGTGTTTTTTGTGGTGTTCAACGATATCGTTAAACAAAAAATCTAAAAAAAATAAAATAAAATTTCAACAAATCCTATGACAAACATATCCAATATTCATATATATTTTATATGGATATACATAACCAACACAATCGGTATATATATATTATATATATATTTATTTATTTWTATTTTTTTTGATAACCGATAGCAACCAGTGAATGGGTTAGTGGTCAGTGAACTAAACAAAAAATTATTTTTATTATTATTATTATTTGCCACCAAATAATARAAAACAACTAAAACATTGTGATTATTAAGCAACAAATATAATAATAATAATATACACCCAAAAAATAATAAAATAAAAAATAATTCATCGATTTTATTGTCAATACCATCGATGGTATATAAAAATCAAGAAAAATAATAATAATAATATATAATAATAAAAATATAGTGTTTTTTTCAGTGTTTTATTCATACATTTACTATTATATTATTTTTGTATTATTTTTCATTATTGATAACATTTTATTGTTGTTGTTGTTGTTGWTTGGATCGCACATCACATACAATACAATACAATATATAATAATATATACAATATTTAGTTATATATATATATATATATATATAAAAATAAAATAAAAGATACCAACAAATAATAATAATAATAATAATAGCCATGTATTCAGTGAATAGAGAGCCGCCAACCAATATTGTCACCACCAATGAACTRAACAAAACTAATACCAATAATAATATTAATACAAATACAAGTAGTTTTATGAAAATAATCGGTAAATTGATCCGAACTAAAGAGCCGGACCTATTAGGAGGCGAAGATCAAACTGTACCACAAAAACTAGATGTATGTATTATTTTTGTAATTTTTATTTTATTTAATTAATTTTTTTTTGGTGGATATTTTCATATATATTTAGTTATAGAGATAGTTATTATACAGTATATAAAAAATTATATATAATTGTTAAGACATATGTATAGTTAATTTTATTTTTGTATAAAATTCAAATAATTTTATAGAAAAATTTAAAATTAAAATCAAGTTTTAGTTCAAGTTTTAAAACCAAATAACATTTACACTATATATATATATATATTAATCTCTATTTAGATGATTAATGATTTTAAATGATAATTATTATTATTATGTTGTTTGTGTGTTTGTCATTATTATTTAGTAAAATTTATGTTTTTTAATTTTATCATATTTTGTTTTCTAAATAAGTAAATAAAAATTTTACATTATATTTGATAAATTAATATTGTGAATTAAATTGTTATAAATTTATTTATGAATCAGATTAATTTATTCAATAGTTAATTTTTTTTAAACTATAATTTAAACAATTTTTTATTCAACAATAATTATTTATTATATTTGTCTATTAATTATAGGTATTTTAGTCCCTAATAATACCAAATAATCTTTTAGTTATTTGAATTAATTTATATTCAATTTTTGATTTTTTTTATTTACAAAAAAAAAATCTTCAAAGTTTAGTATAGTTGTAAATTATTATTGACATTTACTATACATTACAACAAATTTTGTTTTATACACTAAAAATTTTTTTTAATTATTAATTATTTAATTTATTTGATTTTTTTTTGTTATTAAAGAGATGCCTAAAAACCAGAGATCTCGTATCATTGGGAGTGGGCAGCTGTGTGGGCACCGGCATGTATCTGGGTAAGTCATATAAATCTATATATATATATACATATTTGTATATATATAACATTATAGACACAATTTTTTGTGGTGATATTTACTTTTAAATGTCATATACTATAAGTGCATATATGATATACTGTATATATATTATTGACTCTATGATACGGTATATAAATATGACATATCATTTGTCAATAGTAAAACAGACAGTTTTATTGAATTTTTTTTTATAAATATTAAATATATATATATATCAAATACCATAAAGTTTATACCGGTATTAACAGTATTTTTTTATACGATATATATATATAAATACTATTAAATATTTGATTCACTATTACTATATATATATATGTATTATATAATATATTTAATATCTATTACTAATACTATTACTATTATACATAACGTTATATATACTGTAAATTTGATTCATACAAACTTTTCTCAATTTACTAGTTTTTGTTGTTGTTTTTGTATATCAACTGTATATCAATATATTATACAGTATTATATAAGAGGTTTTATATAATATATCATTTTTATTATATGTTCAACTTCCCCCCCCCCCCATTCCTCTAACCCCACCCCCACCAAACGTAAAACAACCGAAAAGTATAGTACAATATACTGTATATATAAAACTATAATAAAATAATTGAAAATAAGTGACATTTTTGTCTGTTATTATTGTATATATATTATTATTATTATTTTGCTGCTATTTAAACATTTTTATCGATTTGACTTTTATTTTATTTTGTTGTTTATTTTGTTGCTTGTATTACAGTATTATTTTTGTTCAAACAATATACTGTATATATATATATATATATATATATATATATATTTACTGTACATTATAGATATAGTAGCGAAACTAAAAAACATCACTTTATAAATGTTTAGACAAAAAAAATAGATATAATAAGTTAAAATAAAATAATATATATATACTGTATATATATATATATTTGTTATATGTGTTTAACATTTAAATAGTGCAATATTTATTAAAAAAACTCAATATAAATGCCATAAGCTTTATATTTATGATATACACTACAAACATAATTTAATTTCGTATCGCAAAAATATTGATATCATTAACTTTGAACTTTAATAACTTTTTTATTTTTTAACTTAAATAAACAAATTTGATATCAAATGAAAGAACACTTTTCAAAGTTTATAAGTCAATAAATAAAATTGCATTAATTATCATATTATCTATAAAAAAGCATAAGTAAGAAATGGTAAAAAAAGTTATGTACAAAAAGTATTTTCGTGAAATCAAAACTTTAAATATTATTAACAAAATAAAGCTATTAATTTAGTAAAAACAATATTAATATCGAGTATTGCCTCCGTTGGCATCAATCACAGCCTGCAATCTTCTTGGAACACTTTGGATCAGCTTTTCTGTGACTTCTTCAGGTATATTTTTCCAGACATTAAATAACACAATTTAAACGCAGAAAAACTTTTTCTTTCGCTCTTTGGCACACGTCTGTCCAATTCATCCCATAGATGTTCAATAATATTGAGGTCAGGGCTCTGTGGCGGCCACAAAGTGTCTCAATTTGATTGTCAGACAACCAGTTTGCCAATTTTGATGTGTGCTTTGGGTCGTTGTCCGCTTGAAATAAAAAATCATCGCTTATTTGTATATAATCTATGACATGAATCATTTGGGGTCAAAATATTGTTAACGTAAATGTAGCGGTTTTGATGGAATTTTTTTTTTCGACCAAATTAAATATATATATATATCCCATACCATAACTGATTTCGAGTGCTTCACAGTTGGACATATATTATCAGGATATATATATATAAATACTATTAAATATTTAAACACTCGTTGGCTATATATATATATGTATTATATAATATATTTAATATCTACCACTAATACTATTACTATTATACATAACGTTATATATATGTAAATTTGATTCATACAAATCGTTTTCTCTGATTTACTAGCTTATTTGTTGTTGTTTTTGTATATCAACTGTAATATCAATATATTGAATCCAGTATTATATAAGTGTTTTTATATAATATATCATTTTTATTATATGGTCAACTTCTTATTTTTTGCCACAATTCGACTCAATACCCTGTCCCCTTTAGCACTAGTACAATATCTGTATATATAAAACTATAATAAAATAATTGAAAATGTGTACTTTTTTTCTTTACAATTGATCGGACAGTATTATCAGTTGTTGTATATATTTTTTATTATTATTTTGCTGACTCTCATATCATACATTTTTGGCGAATTGCATCTTTATTGTATTTTAACCATTTTTATGATAATCTTGTATTTACTGTTTATTTACGTGTATTCAAATTAATAACTGTATATATATATATATATATATATATATATATTTAATGTACATTATAGAAATCACGCGCGTTTTAAAAACACGAAAATAATTTTTTATAAATTATTAACAAAAACCTTGATATATTTTGTTATTTAAACCATTGTTTTGACCATCTAATATATATATATTGTGATTTATATATATATATATTTGATATCAAATTTGTTTAACATTTAAAAAATAAAATATTTATTAAAGTTTAAAGTTAATTATCAATATTTTTGATACGAAATTTATGTTTTGATATATCTTTAATATAACAAAAAACCATTTAAAATTTTATATGCCATATATATATGATTATAATCATTATTTTTTTATCATTGAAAATAATTTTATTATTTTTTTAAAGAAACACACATATATAGACAACAAAAAAGTTAAATCATAATCATTAATGTATATTTAGATAAACATATTTGATATAATTTATACTTTTTATATATATGCTTATTATTTTGCATAATAAATTGCCTGACAGTATATAAATTTATATATATATATATATTGTATAAAATTCTATACATTAATAAATAATAATAATTTAATAACAAAAGCACACATACATATATAAAAAAAATAAATTTTTACACAAAAGATCTTAATTAATTGCAGGTAATATATTAGATGATAATAAAAAAAATATATCTAATATACTATATATATATAGTACTGTATATATATTTTAAGCCGCATTTTTTTCGTAAACATGTTTAGGTGTATAGTCTATACATTGTATAGTAAATTATATCTATAATATCAATAATACAATATATACAGTATATACTGTATATACTGTATATAAGTGTGTGTGTGTGTGTGTATAGCGTGTAAATCCTATCTATGAAATAAATTTATATATTGTCGCACATAATCTAACAAATTGGGATCAATGATAAATCCTTTTTTTAAACAAAAAAAATTGTATTACAAAATAAAGAGAGAGATATATATATATAGAAAGAGAGAGAGAGAGAAAAAAATAGAGAGAGAGAGAGAGAGAGAGAGAGAGAGAGAGAGAGAGAGAGAGAGAGAGATTATTGTTTTATATATTTTTTTATAAGTCAACAAGCAAACTTAAGCTAATCAAATACAATAAATAGCAATAAATGTTTTTTTACTTTTATTTTATTTTATATACAGTATATATATATAATATATATATACAACAAATTATATTAATATTTATGAGTCCTCAATGTATTGGTTTTTTTTTGTTGGGCGAGAGTCATCAATCTATCAATATGTTTTTAAAATAATATCAATCACATTTACACAGTATAAATTATACTGTATATATATACAGTATATATATAGTAAAATATATATAACAAACATAAACATTTATAAAGTATTTATAAGTAAAGTATAATAATAACAACAATGTTTTTATATTATATCCAGATTTAATGTATTCAATAACATATATATATATACATAAAAAGTGCTACAATTTAGTAAAATGAATATTTTATATATATATATACAGTATATATAATAACATATCCATTACATAACATTTATGTTTACTTAGAGAGATAGACAGATAGATAGAAAGTTATATATATATATATAGTTTTAGTAGAAATTCCTACAAATTATATGCATTTTTATTGTAGTCATAGGCATAGTTTCGCATGAAAATTGTCGTATATATTATTATTATTATTATTATTATTACATTTATATATTTATATATATAAATAAATTTATAAAATGTATGAAAATATAGTAAATACAGAATAAAAGGCCATTAAATGTAATTGAGTTTTATATTGTGAATACCAAACACATATATATATATATATATACATAATATACGATATTTAATAATAAAATAATTACATCAATGATTTTTAATAGTTATAACATTTTAGTAATAATACCAAATAGTACAAAATAATAATAATAATAATCATTAAATATGTTACCAAATAATTTGTCCACAATTGACAATAAAAAATTCATTGTTATAAATACAATAAAAGTCAATAGAAATAAAGAGAGAGAGAGAGAGAGAGAGAGAAGAGAGAGAGAGAGAGAGAGAGAGAGAGAGAGAGAGAGAGAGAAACAGTTATTTTATTTAAATTTAATTTTTTGTTGTCATTTTTAATCATTGAAATGTGTATATAAATTATTATTATTAATAATACATAAAAAATACTGTATAACAAAATATACATAACTTATTGATGTGTGGGCTGAATATATTAGGAAATTATTTTAATCAAAATTTACATTATTTTTTTTTGCTTATTTAAATAATAGTATACTGTGTATATTGTGTATATAGTATATATTAAATTGTTTATACTGTATAATACATTGATAATAATGTGTGATATATACGGTATATATTTAGAGAGAGAGAGAGAGAGAGAGAGAGAGAGAGAGAGAGAGAGACTGATAATCATAATCATAGTTATAATACTACTACTAAATAATAATAGTAATAATAATAATAATATAAAGAAAATATTTGATTAATATTAACATTTCAAATAATAATAATGATAAAAATTATTTACAGAATATTCTTGATGAATATTTTTTAATAATAATAATATAAAAGTATATACAGTATATATATAGTTAGAGTATAGATATACGAAAAATAGTTTATTTAATATATAAATTAACAAATCTATGAATGAAACGATGAGATCACTCATTAAAATATGCAAATAATTATTTATATATATATACTGTATATTAATATATAATCGTATGTATAATATTGAAATTAGATGTCAAAAACAATAATTTCAGCCCAATAATAATATACAGTATATGTTAAAGTATTTTAGCATTAATTTAATAAATTGAAAAATGTTTAATTTGCATTGTGTGTGTGTGCGCGTATGTGTATAGATTTTTAAATTATTAATTACCCAATTATTTTAGGTTTTAATTAAAAATATAATATAAGTTAAATACAATAAAAACTAAATACAATTTGCCTCTCATTTGATGCCAAAAACTTGTTGTTGTTTTCAACAACCAAATGGATAGTCAAATAGTATATCTCATAAAATACTCTCTCTCTCTCTCTCTCTCTCATCTCATCTCATCTCATCTCTCTTTAGTGTTTAATGGTCTCACGTATTGCTATATCGATTGATTGGCCAAATAAATGGTAATAATTAGTAGTTTACAGATAGACATGAATTGATTGTTACCAACACTTGACTTGTTATTCAAGTAGAAAATCAATAGTAATTGAAAAAATATCTATATATATATCTATACATATATATATATATATATATATATATATATATATATATATATTAGGACAGTAGGTATATAATTAGTATAAGCATCAAAACTGTAAATTATGACAAAACTTTTATTATTAAACAAAAGTACACTTATTTTTAGTCATAAATACAAATTTTCACAACATTTGCTCATTTGGTTCAGTTTTGGTGACTTCTTAAAGTGTTCAATGTCTGAGAAAACCATAAATTTTGCTTCTCGTGATTTTCGGGCAATAATTGCCTATTGTTATCGGCGCGCGCTGACGGCACAGGAGGCGACAGATGAAATTAATGACACATTGGGATCAAATACTGTTATTTACTCTACAGTAACGCATTGGTATCGAGAGTTCAAATTTGGTCGTACATCACTTGAGGACATGCCGAAGTCAGGTCGACCTCGGGAAGTGACCACCGATGAAAATGTGGCCAGAATTCGGGAACTACTTCAAGTAGATCCACGAATGACACTAATACAGATGGCATATACATTGAATATTTCAACCGAGAGAGTCCATCATATTCTACACAATTATCTTAATGCAAGACATGTTTGTGTCAAATGGGTACCCCACGTGCTGTCAGCCGACCAAATGGCCACTCGTGTTAAGATCTGCCGGGAAAACCTAAAGATATTTTCGGATGGCGGAGATCACTTTATTTATCGATTAGTGACTGGTGATGAAACATGTGTACTTTTATGACAATTTAAACAGTAAAGAAGCAAAGTTATGGGTCATAGAAGATGAAGAGATCCCGAAGTTAGCCAAACGTGAAGTGCATGTAAAAAAGATAATGTACGCCATTTTTTTTCGCTCAACCGGTATTGTGAAAATCGTTAAGTTAGGAAAGGGAGAGAAGGTTACCGCCGACTGGTATGTGAAGAAATGTTTGCCTCAAGTCTTTGAATCTGTTTGTGAGGACCGCCCGAAGTCGGGACTAACTGGTATTTTTTTGCATCACGATAATGCCCGTCCTCACAAAGCATTGGTAACAACCAAGTATCTCAAAGACAATGGTATTCGACTTCTGGCACACCCACCGTACAGTCCTGATCTGGCTCCGGCTGATTTTTGGCTTTTCAAAAACCTCAAGAAACACCTGAGAGGAACGGTATTTAATAGCGAAATTGAGATTGACATCGCTATTGAGTCATTTTTGGGAGACCTAAGTCCAGCCGACTGGCGCGGGGTCTATGAGAAGTGGGTCGACCGTATGAAACGTGTCATAAGGGCTAACGGAGACTATATTTAAATAATATTTGAAAAAAACTTGAATAAAATTGTCTTAAGCTACCGAGGCTAATTTCTTTTCTACCAATCTAATAGTATATATATATAATGTATATATTGTATAATAAATGACAAATTCTAGTACAACAACAACAACAAAAAACTCATATAAATGGGAAATAAGTAGTTATACATTGTTTAAACATAATGTTATATTAGGAGATAGCGCTCTAGAGGTATATTCATCTAAAAAAAATTTATATACATTATATAAAGTACTGTACGGTATATATATATACTGTATATATTATGTATATACCGTAACTATAATGTATTTGACAGTTAAGCCAAAAAATAATATTAAAAAAAGAGAGATCGGAAAGTAAATAAAAAAATCGCATAAACTATACGACAATCAAAAAATCAATTCTCTATTTCCTTTAACTCTCTCTCTCTCTCTCTCTCTCTCTTTCTCTCTCTCTCTCTCTCTCATATTTAACTTACCCCATAGATTATTATTTTTTATACAATACATATAGTTTTTACTTTTTTCATATATAAATATATATATATATATAAATTTTACAAAATATAACATTTTATATACAGTATGTTTTAGAAATTTTTATATTATATATATATATATATATATATATATTGTATATATAAATTATGTTTATATATATATAGCTTAAACATATATAGTACTGTATATTTTTGTTGTATTGATTGATTTAAATTTATAATATCTCAATACATCTGTTAGTGTTTTTTTTTATCCTATTACTACAAATAAATATACAGAATATACAGTATATAACATACAGTACTTTACTTTCGGTAAATAAAATTTTATATTTATAAAAATTTATAAATAGATATTTGGTAGTAATAGACAGAGAGAAAAAACTAACTTATTTGCCATTAGAGATTTTTTTATAAAATAAATTTTTTAAACTTTAAAAATTTCAATTTATAATATTATTAGTGAATATATATATATAGTATATATCAATAAATAAAAATTTAATCAAGATAAATAAATAAAATATAAAAAGATTTTAGTTGAAGTTATGCTAATATACTGTATTTGGTATATACTTGATATTATTAACTAAACTTATAATAATAATAATAATATCTTAAAAATATTWTTATTTTTTATTTACTATAAAAATAATAATAATAATATTAAAAAAATTTAATACTATATTATGTTAATCAGTATTTTAACAAAAATAAAATAAAATACATGTTTAACTTTTAATGATTTAACTAAATAATGATAGTAATAATAATAGTTTTTTTTAAAAAAATAAAATAAATTTACAGATTTTTCATAATAAATTCAAATCTTTAGTACTGTTTATACATTATATTATATATAAAACAAATTGAAAATAAAAATAAAAAACATTAACTAAATTAATGACTGATAATTAATGTACTATTTTTTACAAAACTAAATTCAACAACAATTGTTTTGTGAATAATAATAATTTTGTTCAAAAAAAATAATTGTTTATATAATAATAAAAATATATATATTTAGTTTTTTCATAAATTTCCATAAATGGCAATTTATTTATTAAACTTTAGTTTAAGCCTTAGTTATATAAATTTTATATTATAAAAAAATAATAAATATTTTATTTTCTAAATAAACTACATTAGAGATTTATACACACACAATATATATATATATATATAAACAATATATTATATCGTATAAAATAAATAATATCATAAATAACAAATAATAAAATACTACAGTATATGAATAAATTATATAATAATTTATTTAGTTTTTAGAAAAAATAAATTAAACTTTACATAAAAATACAGTATATTTTTAATAAATATATATATAATTAATGTATTATTTTTTGCTTTATATATATATGATATATACATATATCATATAACTTATATAYGGTATATGAAATTCATATTATGAAATATATATTATTTTAATCCCTTATCTATCTATGCATACATTTTCCTACAGTTGCCGGTATGGTTGCCCATAACGTTGCCGGACCTGCCGTCATATTTTCGTTTACCATTGCCGCCATTGCCAGCCTATTTTCAGGTTTGTATTAATAATAATAATTAAATTATATAATAAATTAATATATATRAAAATATTTTTGTATAAATTGAAAAATTTTTAATATACATATACTAAGAGAAAAACTAAAAACTAAATAAAAATTTTCTCTAATTTTTAATTTAATTAGGCGTTTGTTATGCAGAGTTTGGCGTACGGGTGCCTCACACTACAGGTTAGTTATTATATACCTATATATTTACACGTATATATATAGGTATARATATATATATATATATTGTATATAAATAAATAGTATATATTCATTATTTATATATAAAATTATTTGTTATTTAAAAACACATATCATTAAAACAATTTGGATTATTTAAAAGCACATAAATTTTGTAATTCATACAATTAGCATATTTTTGTATATTTTTGTTTTTTGTTTTTGTTTTGTTTAATTACTGTACAAATATTTCACAAAATTTTTAAGTAGATTTAATTTTTTTGAATTTTTGTTTTTTAAAAAAATTTAATTAAATATTAATTTACTGCATAAATAAAAATAACAAAATAATAGTTTAACTGTTTTTTTGTGTGTGTATGTAAAGAATATTATTATTATTAATATAAAGAATATTATTAATAATATACAGAATATTATTATTAATATAAAAAAAACTATTATTATTATTATATAAAACATTATTTTCTTGCTATTTATTTAGTTACCCAACAAAATAATATATATTGATTTATTTTTTAATATTTTATTTTCATCTAAAGATTTTTTTGGTTATATTTATTATTACTCTTAATGTAWGATAAAGTAAGAGAGAGAGAGAGAGAGAGAGAGAGAGAGAGAGACTCTTTGCACATAATTAATAAAAAAAAAAATAATTATATCTTTCAGTTATTTACTATATATTCTTTATATATACTMTATATATATATACTTTAGTATATACTGTACATTAAATACAGTATACAACAAAAATAGTAACCAAAAAATAAAATAATAATATTATTTTTGTTGATATTATTTGATAAAAAACAGGATCAGCTTATATGTACAGTTATGTGACAGTTGGCGAGTTCATAGCATTTGTAATCGGGTGGAACATGTAAGTCATAACTAGCACCGGGTGTTTATATAACACATACACACACTTCCAAATATTTTTGAAACAAAATATATATATATAATATCTTTTATATATAATGAGATTAATATACCAATCAATCAATCAATCAATCAATTAAATCTATTAATACAATAACCAGGGTATTGGAGTATCTGATAGGAACGGCTGCCGGTTCGGCGGCCATATCGGCCTGTATTGACGCCCTGTACGGCGGATCCATACGTCGATCGATGAAATCGACGTTCGGTACGTTTGTCGGCCATGTACCCGATTTGTTGGCCGCCGTCATAACGGCACTGATGACCATACTGTTGGCTACGGGTGTGAAAAAATCCCTGCTGTTCAACAATGTCCTCAATCTGGTCAATCTGGCCGTCTGGTTGATTATTGTTTGTGCGTCAATGTTTTACATTGATTTCGATAACTGGTCAGAACATGGCGGTTTTCTACCGTACGGTTGGTCGGGTATGCTAAACGGTGCGGCCACCTGTTTCTATGCGTTCATTGGTTTCGATATTATAGCCACAACAGGTATGATTGTATTTTAATCTGGTGGGGTGGGGTTTGGGTGATGGGCTAAACTACAGTCAGCCCTACTATCCACCCCCAAACCCACCCACACCCCCATTAAATTAAACAATAATTAGGTTTAACTCCCATTTCAATTAATAAAAAAACGGTTGTAGATATCACACACACACACACACACCTAGAGATTAGGGCAAATAGAAAGTTTCTAGGAAAATTTCCTAATTAATAAATTTCTATAGAACCTATTTAACTTTTCCCCATATTTATAGTTATAATAATAATTAATAAGGTATAATATTATACATATAATATAATATTATACAGTATAGTACAGTACTATACAAAATGGGATACTTATACTRTATATATAAAATAATTTAAATTATTTAATAATAATTAGTTTTGTAAAAATTTTATTCCTATGTTATTATATATAGTTTAATAGTTTAATTAATTAATTTTTTAACTTTAATTAAAATACTTATATTAATATTTAATATATTGTTATTGTTTGATAGCAAATATCAAGATAATAAAATTAACCATGGGGGAATCTCATAGATATAAAAATTTATTTTAGAAACTTTCTAGAAATTTGTCTATTATTTTATATTAAATTTCTCTAATTTTTTKCCAATACTACACATACCATCCTACCTGCACTTACCCGACCAATAACCCGGATATACTGTATACATATATATCTGATAAAACATTGGTGTTACCTATTATTATCATCAACGGGTGACCCAATATTTTAACACTGATTATCATCATTACTACCATCACTACCACTACCACTACTACTACAGGTGAAGAAGCGGAAAACCCTCAGCGCTCGATACCTACTGCCATAATAACGAGTCTGGTTATAGCATTGACAGCTTATGTATCATCCGGTATGTGTTACTGTCTGTATTTGTCTGTCTGTCTGTCTGTCTGTCTGTCTGTCTGTATATGTGTTTGTATTTTATTTATTTATAATATATATATAATATTTATTTATTTTTTTATATTGTATCTCATTTGTTATTTAACATTTATTATTAAGGAATATTATTATGATAATAATAATAATAATGATAATAATGATGATAATAACAATAATAGTAAATAATACAGTATAATACTTATTATATCTATTGTACTGTTAAATGTTACCAAACAGATAAATGTTAGGCTGTTAAAAGTCATCAAAAAAATATATATAAATATATTGTATATAAATGTTATGCATTATTGATGTGTGAAATACAATAAATATTCAATTGTTACTTATATTATTACAATATACTATAGTATAGAAAACTATTATAGTAAATATCAATATAATACATACATATATTTAAGTTATATGTGATGAAAATAATCAAAATAGCAGTAATAATAGTAATAATAGTAATAGTAATAATATTAGTTATCATATAATATTGAACAGTTAGAAAAATGTCAAATTTTTAGATCTTATTTATATATATATACTGTATATGAAATAATATATTTATTTTTATATACACATAATATTATATTTATTTTTAATGGTCTTTATCGCACAAAAGTCAGACGCATATGTATCACAATTTTTAAGCATATATTTTATTAAATTGTCTTTATATACAGTATATATATACTGTATATATATCAATATATTATATAAAATATAGTTACGGTATATATATATATTGGATATACTGTATTATGAGTGTGTTTGTCATATAATGAGCACGACTACCAAATGTAATCATATATTCAATATACATATATATATATATATATTATTTGATAAAATTTATATCCTTTTACATAATAYTATATAACTAATATTTTATATAAATTTTTAGATGCAATTTATTTTTTATTTTTTTTTTGAAAAATTAATAGGGTCTCWATTTAAATTCTATAGTTTAYATAAAATATTACATAATATATATWTATAGTAAATATGTTAATAAATTATATAAGATTATATATATATATAATTTATGTAATATAAGTATATAATAATTGAAACAATTATCATTTACCAATTTTGCTTTTAAAATTTTAAAATTAATTAACTAGAAAGTATTATTATTATTATAATTATTTAGTATAGTACAGTATATATGTTTTATTAGGTATAATACAGTTTTAAATTATTAAACTAAATGATGTTTTTTTAAAAAATTTAATCATTAAATCTGTAACTGTACTGTAGATTAGTATTTAATTTTTAATTTTTAAATTAGTTTTAATATAATATTTATAAACATTAAGTATTTTTATATTGTGTACAAYTTAACAAAACTTTATATATTTTATTTTTTAAAATAACAATTTTATAAAATTGTATCATAAATTTGATCTCTTTTTTCTTTAAATTTTTTAGTTTTGTATATTATTTTAATAAATGTCAAACAACCAGACAAACAAATTTTTTCAAAAAATAATTATTTTATTTTACTTTACAAATTTGTTTTGGTTAATAATTATTATATTATTATTATTTTATTTAGTATATAATTTGCAAATTTTATAAATAAAAAACATTATTTTATTTTAGTAAAAATAATAAAAAAAATTTTTTTTTTGAATCTTGATGTTTTATTATACAGATAATAAAACATTAAAAACAACAACAAAATAAATAAATTTTTTAAATTTGATCATTAGTTTTAATAATGTACTAAAAAAATTTCTAACTGTATATCAAAAACAACAAAATAAATAAATAACAGTATTTTTATTTTTTAAAAAGATTATACAATATAGGACAAAAATTTTAACATTTATTTTTTGGGGAGCTAGATAATTATTTTTTTTTTAAAATAAATGATTTTTTAAAAATAAAAACAAAAACAACATCAAACATAATATTAAAATTCAAAAAAATTATTTTAATATTATAAATWATACAAATTAACATTATTACTGGGATTAGCTAAACTAGAAAATTATTTATTTGATATTTATTRGAGGGGGGGGATTAAATACTATAGTATTATTGTTGTATTATATAGCAATTTAATTGCCATATATATATAATRTAGATAATTAATAGAAACATTAATATATTATATAAAYACAGCTATATATATATATTAATATACAGTATATTATAGTACTGTTTGTACAGTTGATAATACTATACTATACTAGAGTTATTTATAATTATAAACTACTGTATATAGTATTATTAATGTTCAACATATTCACTGTATTATATAATATATCTTACAATATATTTCTATATATAGAAATATTAAATGTCATATAATGTTTTTCAATACCAACAGGGTAATTATTTATTTTATTTTATTTTTTGGTATTATACATATATTTATTAATTTTGTTAATTATGTGCAATTGTCAATTTTACATGTAATAAGTAATAATCATCAAATATTTACTATTACTTATTTGATTATACTGTATATATATATATACAGGGTATAATATAATAAATCAAATTATATTTATTAAACACATATWYWTATATATAAATATATATAYACAATATATTAATTAATCATTTCTGATAAAAATATAGATTTTTAATTTAGATATTGTTAATTAATTAATATTTATTTTTTTTATAATTTTATTATAAATATATGTTTAGCTAGTTAAGCTTAATCAATTTGTGCAACTATGTGTGTGTGTGTGTGTGTGTTTTAGTTGGCATTTAATAATGGATTTTATTTTATTTTTTATTTAATTTTCATGAATTATTTTATTTTATAGTTATTTAGTAATTTTTGTTAACCATTTTCTCTAACTTACTGTAAAAATACGGGGATTTAAGCAATCGCTTGTAATTAGTGGTTATATTGTTAGTATAACGGCACTCAACTGGATGTCGGAGCTTAAACTATATATATATATATATAAATTATATTATAGTTTATATATATAGATATATAAAAAAWATATTATATAGTAATTATATGAGAGATTTTATTATAACATCTAAATTTTTGTCGGGTTTCTTATATTATTATTATTATATAAAACTAACATTTTCTATACACTAATATTAACTGTATATTGTATATCAATTTAGTCAAGCATATGTTTGATGTGATCGATAACAAACAATAGCAATAAAACTAATACACAAAAAAAAACTTGAAAGTGTCATAAATTTATCAAGCATAAATTTTTTCTAGTTATATAATCATCAATACAGTCAACAACAAAACTTATAATTATAACAAAAATCTTATTTATTATATATATATATATATATATATATATTTATCATCTAAAATATATTGATACAATATTTTTGTTATATATATATATATATATATATATATATATACTATAGTATATGTTAGGAATAATCTATTGATCAAATAAAATATTTGGATCTAATTGTACTAAATATAGTTTAGAGATAATAATGTAATAATAATAATAATAATAATAATAATAATAATAATAATATTGATAATCTCGTAAAGGATAATAAATTGTTGATATATTTTCCATATATCTAAACCATGTATTTTCATCCTCTAATTAAGCACATCATAGATAAGCTTGAATTTTGTGATAACAAAAATCGATAACAGAATCCATTTTTATCTTTTTTATGAAGAGATTCATAATAATCTCTCTCTCTCTCTCTCTCTCTCTCTCTCTCTCTCTCTCTCTCTCTCTCTCTCTCTCTCTCTCTCTCTCTCTCTCTCTCTCTCTCTCTCTCTTCTCTCTCTCTCTCTCACTCACTCACTCACTATTTTACTTACTTATTCACTCACTCACCCACACACACACACACACACTTACCTATACATACATAGTATATAATGTATACATAYATAAAGTGAATATACTTATACAGAATCTCTCTCTCTCTCTCTCTATATATATATATATATATATATAACTATTTCTAAAAAATATTACATTTATTGAATTGAAATTTAAATATATATATAACGTTATATTCAATATACATATATATATAAAAATTTAAAAACTAAAAACTATATTTTTTTGTTGTTTCATAAATCATACAATAAAAGCARCAACAAAAAAGCGTTCAACAATTATTCATTGCTTATAACTTTTTTTTATATTTTTTTCCAAAAAGTATTTTATATTTTTCAAAAAGAAAACTAGATTTACTGTAAAATAATAAAAAAAATAGTGAATATGTATATTAAAAATTGTAAAATAATTTTTTGTTGCAATTTTATCGCTACTTATTGAAGATATTTTTTTAAAGGATAAAAATAGAGAGAATATATAGAGAGAAAAAACTGATTATTAGTTTTTTTTTATCATTTAAAGTATTTATTTTTAGGGATGATACACATATTACGTGCGCACTTTTTTAAGAAATCTAAATCCCTATTTTTGCATTTTTTTGTATATATATATATTGTAGTTGTCAAAAAAGTTCGCTTAGGTCGACCCCTTCCCATCCCAAGTGTGAACGTAATATGTGAATCCCCCCTTAACTATTATATATATATATAAATTTTAGCTGTATAATGAGATAATGTAAATTTGATGTTAATTGATGTGTGCAAGTGTTTTAATTTATTTATTTATCTAATTTTCTTTATAAAAAAAATATCTAAAGTCAATTAGCAAAATGTGTCAAAAAAAAATAAAACAATTTTTTTTAATTATTTTTTAAAAAATAATTGATTAAAGTTGATTAGCAATTTTTATTTTTTTAAAACATTGTTGTTGTTGTTGTTGAAAGCAAATGTTAGCAAATAAAGTAATATAGATTTTTGTTGTTGTCTTTTTTTYAAAAAAATAATATCATATTAAAATATATATTTTAAAAATAAAACTAAAAATTTTTAATGATTAATATAAATTTTTAATATACTTCCAGATATTATATTTAATATTTTGTATAATATAGTGTATTGTATATGTATAACAATATACACTACTCTAGTATATTAACAACGATAGTAATATGAGATCAAAAAAATTTTAATATTGAAATATTGAATTACTATATAATATTTTATACATTATTTGTTATATTACTATATACTTATATATATATATATATWTWTRTATATATATATATATATCACATTGAGTTGTGTTAACTCATGTGAATATTTTTATGATGATCTCTCTCTCTCTCTCTCTCTCTCTCTCTCTGTATATTATGATTGAAAAATTTTCACACATTATTATATATATAGTATATATATATATATATATATATTGATATAATATTATATTATCGTAGAGATCATGTTTACATAATAAAATTAAGTCAAAATTTTTAATCTAATATATTTGTAAATATAGATTACATATTATACTACTGTGTATATGATATACAATATAATAATATAATATCAAATATTTTTATATAATATATAAATATCGTATATATATATATTATAATATGAGACTCAAAATATAATTTTATTTTTATTTATTTATTTTTTGTTAAAAAAATTTTTACTCTACTTTTTCTTTGTTATATAAGATTTCTATCCTAGAAATCATGTCTTGAAATTTAAATCTATTTATCTATAAATTTATTTATTTTTTTAAAAAAGATTTTATTATTATTTTCTTTATAAAATCAAAAAATATATATAATAATAGCAATTATTATTATCATTATCATTAAAATGGTTAAAAAAATTAATTTAATGTCTCACTAATCCTTTASTACTTTAGATAAAGTTATAAATTTTTTTGAATATTTATTTTAAACACAAATTTCTTGGCAATTATTTTTAAAGACCAAAAAAAATTTATTATTAGAGTATTTTCTAAGATATTGTCAATTTATGTTTGCATTTAGAAAATAAAATAATAATAATAGTGTTTAGTTATGCAAATAAATGCAAATAAATGCTTAAATATTTCAATAAAAAATACACTTTAAGGATATATATATACGTGTTTTAAAAACAATTGCTTTTTGTGTCTAAATCATCAATTATTTATTGTTATTTTTTTGCGTTAAAATACATTTAAAAAATTAATTATATATATTTTTATATTATATATATATTTAAATATTTTTATGCTGAAAGTAACATAAATATCTCTATTGAATAGTATTATAATAGAAACTAATAGTGAATTTTTTTAAAAACTGTTAAATATAAATTTAAATAAATTTAATTAAATTATTGTCTACACGTTTGCTAAAAACAATGTATCCACACAAATAAAAAATTTTATTAATGCTCTCATCATAAATAGGTTATACATAAATTATAAAGTTATATAATACTATTATATTACGCATATATATATATATTTAAATTATTTATAATACAAAACATTTTACTATTATAAATTTTTAACAACATTTAATTGACAAATGCATCATGCATAATAAATTTGTTATAATATTTAAGAGAGTATTGTTATTATTATTACTGTATTATTATTTTCAATATGGTACACTATACCGGTAGTATATTGTATTAGAATATGGAAAATTACTCATGTTATCATAATATTAATAATAATAATAATAATAATAATTTATCATTGATAATATTAATTAAAATTATTTCAWTATATATATATATATGTAGAGTATATTATTTATAAAATTAATATTATTTTTTAATTAATATTATTTGAGAAATTTTATATAATAATAATAATAATACTAATAATAGATAACATAGTAATGCCTATTTAGTATACAGTATTAATATAATAGCTATTAATATATAACAAAATTATACTTTAATAATAATAATTATTATGAAAATTTTATATATAAATTATCAGTGGACTGAAAAAAATACTAATTTTTAATTTCTAATAATTTATTAGTTATATAAAAATAAACTTTGATTTTTTTTTGTTTGTTTGTAAGTCATCTCATTTAATAAATTATAATCAAAAAAAAAATAAACTAATATTTATATTTATAATATCAATCAGTTGACTATATTATATATTAAGAGTGAAAAATTATTTTACTTTTTTTTAAAAAAAACTCAAACAAATTCAATTTAAACATATAATTTATTTCATTACAATTGTTGACAACTATTTTTTTTAAATAAATCAATTTCACGCTTCTCTCTCTCTCTCTCTCTCTCTCTCTCTCTCTCTCTCTCTCTCTCTCTCTCTCTCTATATATATATATATATATATATATATATATATATATGTCTAATTCATATGTAAATATTATACAGCATATAAATGTCTAATTGTATACTAGTATAGTATAGTCATAGATTTTTTTGTCAAWAAAAAAATATTTATAAATATATATATATGAATTATTATATATATTATATTATGTTGACATCTAAATGTTTRTAAATTTATTTAAATKAAGTCATAAATATATATATATATTTATATATGACTTCATTTAAATATATATATATATATTAGTAGTAGTATTACATGTTTAGCTTAAATAGATGTTAATTTATATTTTGAAACAAAAAAAATAAAACTATATATTATATATACTTTTTTATGACTTATAACCTATTTGTTTGTTTGTTATATCAATATATATATATATATATATATATATATTATTATTATTATGTTGACAACCAAATTTAGGTCTAATCATTACACTTGTGGTCCCCTATGACCAGATAGACCCGAACTCGGCAATGGTCGAAATGTTTGCCAGTCACGGGGCCAACAAATTGAAGACCATTGTGGCCGTCGGCGCACTGGCAGGTTAGTAGTCAGTCCAGTCCAGTATACTACCCAAACCATACAATATACTGTATAATGTCGTACATTATATTATAATAATAATAACTTTATTGATTAAAAACTATATAAACATATAATTTATTTTATTTTTTTCGATTAAAAATCAGTAGTAAAAAAAYTATCAAATAAAATATGTGTGTGTTTTTGAAAATGACATTAAATTAGCATTTTTGTTGAATATATTATACAGTATTGTAATATATAGTATAATATTACATACTATAATATAAGTTTATAATAATAATGTGAATGTTTATTATACAGTGATTTTTAATGAGTACACACACACACACATAAAATTACAAACATACACACACACATACATACACACACATATACATATACACACATACATACACACACACACATAAACACACATACATACACACACATAAACACACACACACACACACATAGTATTTTGATGTAAATTATATACAATATATAAATCATTGATAGCCCACACATATAAATTGTTTGGTATATTACCCTATAATTTAGTGAAAATTTTCTATATAATAATATTATAATCTACTCTATACATAGATATAGATATAGTACACTAGTTATCCATTATATATTTGGYATAAAATTAAAAGMTCAAAAAATAYATTTCCAAAAAATTAAATATAAATCCCCTTAATTATGTTGACAACTAATACAAGTACAGTAATAATAATAATAGTCATTAGTGTCTACACACTATTTTTAGCCTAAAAACTAGTAATTAAAAATTTCAATATAAAATAATAATACTAATAAATTATTATAATATAATTTTTACAAAAATATTAGATAAGTTAATTTTAATTTTATCAACAAAATTTTTAATTATCAACTTTATATTAAATATTAAAAAATTAATGATAACTTATTTATGAAATTTATTATTTTTTTCTTTAAAATTTTCTTTAAACAATTATAGGACTGTTAGTATCGATGTTGGGATCTATGGTATTATCAAACTATTGAATTTAATTAATTATTTTTAAAATAAAATTACGTTTATCTCTATATTATTAACATCTATATCATTGATTTAATTATATGGCTCATACCTAATCATAATGATGATGATTGTAATGGTATATACCAGTTCCCGATGCCCCGTGTTGTCTATGCCATGGCCAAGGATGGCCTAGTATTTCGTGAATTATCGCAAATATCTAGTTTAACTAATACCCCACTAAAAGCTACGCTAATAATGGGCGCCTTTACGGCATTTATATCATTGATTATGTCGCTGGAAGTGCTCGTAGAGATGATGTCCATCGGCACACTTATGGCATATACACTGGTATGTCATATATATCAATATATATATAACTATAATATATATAATATTTATATAATATATATATATATATATAATAACTATCATAATAATAATTATAATTATTATTACCATAATTTTTATAATATATGAATTATTTTTAATAAACTTTTATAATAATTACAATATTATCAAACAAAATAAAATTGTAATTAAAATTTTTATTTATTTTTTTTAAAATGAAATTCAAATGATTTATCAATTTCTCTATTATTAATAATAATGAGTTAAAAAATTATAGATTTATTTTTATATAAAAATTTATAGTAATTATATCAATAATATTAAATAATTTTTTTAAATTATTACAAAATACTTGTATTTTTGTAATTGTATATAAATTGTTATTTTAAGACAATAATGATTGTAAACAACTAAATATATTGATATAATAGAAAATTTTATATATATTGAATAAGATATTCATTAATTTTAATTTATTTTTGTTTAAAAATATCTTATCGTTATAAACATACTCATAATGTAAACCCAATAGTAATTAGTAGACTTAATTAAATTAGCATAAAATTAATTAATTAAAAAATAATAATAAAATTAATTTATAGATTAGAAATAATTAAGCAAATATTTTTTTTTGTAAAAAAAACAATAATATGATATATAATTGAATATTATTTAGTATTATCAATATATTAATTGTTTAACAATTAATTTATATTATATAATATTAGCTAAAATATGGCATAATAATTAATTTTTACACTTAATTAGCTATGAATTAACTGATTATATCATATATAATTTTTCAAATAAAACATACATTGAATTAAAAATTGGGATTTTAGCCAAAAATTTTATTATATTTGTAAATTTTATCACCAAATTTATAATAACATGAATTTTTAAAAAATCAATTATTCTTATCATTATTAAGGAGATTAACAACAGTAACAAATGTTAAATAAATAATTATTTTCAGCCAAAATAAAAACAATATATAAATATAATATTTATGACAAAATTTTTTATTATTAGTAGTAAATGTATATTAATATTATTAGTAGTGTTTATCATTACATTTTAGTTTTCTCTCACATTTTTTTTCTGGACAAACATTAATACAAAACAAAACAAAACAAAATATAAAAAATGTTTCAACAAATGATTGATATGTCTTTAGGTAATACATTGCAAATGATGAGCACTTTTTCTGAGTATTATTATTATTATTTGACAAATAATGAAAAAATAGATGATATAACAAAAGTCGACAAAAATATATATATAATAATTGATTGACAATATATATATCATATATATTTTTATATTAGGATATTATTTAATATATATATATATATAATATTTATATAGTAAATAAAATAATAATGTGTTAATATATATATATATACTATTATTAATATTTATTAAGTAATTAATTCAGTAACCAAGTTATTTAATATTAATTAAATACATATATATATATATATATATATATATATATACAGTACATACTATACAGTATAATAAATTGTAATTTAATACAAATTAATACAAATTAACTAGAATTGTGTTTATTTAATAATGTATTCAATTTAATAGGTAATTCATAAATTTTTAATTATCGGTAATAAATAAAATTAATTTTGTTTCTTTATTGATTTTTTTATTAAACTTCCAATTAAATACTTATTTAATAATTTAAATTAGATTGATTTATTAATAATAAAATTATTTTTTTTAATTAGTAAAACTTCTAATATCATATATATAAATTTTATTTTATAAAATTAAACATTTACTATTTTATTACTATATAATACCAATATTATTATATATTATGTATTATTAATTTTTTTGAAATAAATAAATTGCTAATCGTTAAATTTTAGTTAATTAATTATAACTAATTATTTAGTCATTTTATATCATAGATTACCATTAATATATATACACTTTATATATATATATATATATAATATATGCCATGTATATTGCCATAATTAATTAATTATTAAAACCATTATACARTATATATACGATAATTTACATAACTATTGAAACTAATTAATATTATATTAATTTTTTCTAATTAATTAATTAATATTAATTAAATATAATAACTGTTTTTTTTAAAAAAAAAGGTATCGACATGTGTCCTATTGTTGCGCTATCAGCCGTCGCGAACCAATTTAGTAGATCTGTTACCCCAATCGATACGGTCGGCCTGTCCGACACCGATCAAAGAGGTCGCACCMAATCCAATGATGTCTACTGAGGCCAAGTTTACGCCGTTTATGGGTAGCGCTACCGCCGGTGGTGGTGGTGGTGKTGGCATCGGTAGTACACATCAGCAACGAATACACACCCGACGAACSAACCGATGGGATTCRTCCGAAAGCGACGAAACTGATCCCAATTGTTATCGTCAGGAGAGCAAAGACGACGAGTTTCTGGTACCTGGAAATGCTGGCTTTCATTACGGATCGGTTCCCTATCAGCACGGAGGCAGCAGTGGCCGCCGATACGCGCTTCCGTATGTATACACAACACACCCACCCCACCCCACCCATCCATCCATCCAAATACCCGACCAATCTATTCACTATAATATAATATAATTTCACTATTTTATTGTTGTTGTTGTTGATGGTGTAGCCATTATAACATCAAAGTGATGATAGTAGTAGTAGTAGTAGTAGTAGTAGTAATAGTAGTAGTAGTAGTAGTAATAGTAGTAGTAGTGGTAGTAGTGGTAGTAGTAGTAGTAGTAGTAGTAGTAGTAGTAATAGTAGTAGTAGTAGTAGTAATAGTAGTAGTAGTAGTAATAGTAGTAGTAGTGGTAGTAGTGGTAGTAGTGGTAGTAGTGGTAGTAGTGGTAGTAGTGGTAGTAGTGGTAGTAGTGGTAGTAGTGGTAGTAGTGGTAGTAGTGGTAGTAGTGGTAGTAGTGGTAGTAGTGGTAGTAGTGGTAGTAGTGGTAGTAGTGGTAGTAGTGGTAGTAGTGGTAGTAGTGGTAGTAGTGGTAGTAGTGGTAGTAGTGGTAGTAGTGGTAGTAGTGGTAGTAGTGGTAGTAGTGGTAGTAGTGGTAGTAGTGGTAGTAGTGGTAGTAGTGGTAGTAGTGGTAGTAGTGGTAGTAGTGGTAGTAGTGGTAGTAGTGGTAGTAGTGGTAGTAGTGGTAGTAGTGGTAGTAGTGGTAGTAGTGGTAGTAGTGGTAGTAGTGGTAGTAGTGGTAGTAGTGGTAGTAGTGGTAGTAGTGGTAGTAGTGGTAGTAGTGGTAGTAGTGGTAGTAGTGGTAGTAGTGGTAGTAGTGGTAGTAGTGGTAGTAGTGGTAGTAGTGGTAGTAGTGGTAGTAGTGGTAGTAGTGGTAGTAGTGGTAGTAGTGGTAGTAGTGGTAGTAGTAGTAGTAGTAGTAGTAGTATTAATGTTGGTTTTATAATGATAGTCCACTCATAAATTTTTATGTAGTAGAGCTATCATTATAATAAAATGCTACTACTAATAATAATAATACTGATTATTCAATATATTGTTACATTGTATATTATAAAATTTATATATATTATATTATATAACTTATATAATTTATATATGCTAATGTAATAATATAAAGTACAGATATTTAGATGTTTTGACAGTTTATTGTATTGTATTTTATTATATTTTTTGTTGGGGTACTATATCTTGGAGGATGGATATTTGTTATTTTTATAAAAAAAATTATATTTAGTAATATATAATTTATTTTCTATGTATGTGTGTGTGTGTGATATATTATAAAAAATATATAGTGTATATACAGTGTATATATATATATATATATAGTGTATATATAATGTATTATTGCTATTATTTAAAATATCTTCAACTATTGTAGAGCAGCTATAATATGTAATATAAATTTTGAAATATTCAGCTATCGATCAACACATCACATAATATATATACAGTATATATAGTATATATAAATTTGTATATATATTTATTTTTGTTGTTTTTTTTATTTGGTATTACACTTTAATACAAACACATAACACACACACAATATATATTKATATTATTTTTACAGTAAAATTTTTTTTATGATTATCATATTGTTATCTTTATTTGTGTGTTGATATAAAAGCAAACCTATTTTTTGACAGAAACTCATATTTTTTTATATATATAAATTTTTTTATTTAATATTATATTATCGTACAATAGTTGTAAAAATTTTCTTTACTATTATTATTATTATCAATACTACTGGTAATCCGTTATCATACAAATAGCCATTAATAATAGTGGCTATTATTTCAATGTTTGATATATAAAAAAARGTTAGATATTGAATGAGTGAGTGAGTGAGTGAGTGAGTGAGTGAGTGGGTGAGTAAATGAGTGGTGAGTAAGTGAGACTTACAGATAGTGATTCACACAACACTAATACCATTAGTTTATTTTTTGTCATAAAAGCATTTTCTTTAACACAAGTTTACCCTCAAAACTACTGGGAATTGTCATAACATATATACATACATATTGTATAGTATAATACAATACTAAGAATATAAAGAATATTCTTATATTTCATAAATAAAAACCAAAAATAAAAAAACATATATTTATATATAATTTAATTATTAATCAATATATATATATATATATATATATATATATATATAGGGCCGGCATTCTAGACAAATATGAGAAGCTCTGTCTCTATTTGTTTCCCTATGGCTGGAAAGTTCACGGACCGGCAACGGATGAGTCGGGTATATTAGTTGTCAAACTGGTCGGTCTACTATATACAATGGTCATCATATTTGACATAATAGTAGCCTATTATATACATTGTCTCAATTGGGACAATCGTATCATTTTATTATTATTTGGTCTACTATTTGTGGCCATTGTTGGCTGTATTCTAGCCATTTCCCGACAGCCGCAGATCAGGTATTATCTAAAAAAAATTTAAAAAATACATTATATATATGTAACTTATTTTATGTTTAATATATTTAACACATTTTCTCCTATTAACACCCAATCACCCACTATCCCGACCACACCTACCTACCTAACTCACCCACACCCACCCAACTAACCTAATTAACAGGTGTGACCTGAAATTTAAAGCACCGGGAGTGCCGTTCGTGCCTGCGATTGCCATAATCATCAACATATATCTCATATTAAGATTGTCTATCTTAACGCTGGTCCGGTTCACTGTCTGGATGATTGCCGGTATGTTTGTGTGTGTGTGTGTGTGGGTGGGTGAGTGGATGGGTGTAGGAGGAGGGGAGGGATGGGTCTGTCTTATCTGAAAATATCACTGAAAAATACGAAACAATTAAATCAATTATTATTATTACATATATCTTCAGGACTGGCGATGTATTTCTGTTACGGAATCAAAAACTCGTCACTTGAGACACAGTCTTCATCGTCGGAAACAGTGGCCAACAATAATAATAATAATAGCGGCGCCCAACCCATGGAGCTGACCATTCCGGCCAATCGGTTGCCGTCGGGCMGCCGCCGCTGCCGCCGCACAGCCGCGAGGGACACGAAACGATGCAATTAGTAGACCCAATGGTTTTGGTTTTTCAAACAACACTACTATTGAAGACAATTGGCAAACATTTGATTGAATACATTATTTTAAAAATATATATATATATTCAATATATTGTTATATAAATTATAACACAAAAAAATATTATGAATATTAATATCTAATATTAAACTAATCTAAACAAACAAACAAAAAAATTTACCAAATTTTTAAACAAAAAAAAATAACTAGACTTCCATTTGTTATATACCTAAATATTTACCATTAATTATACCATTGACTCTGAAATTATTATTATTATTATCATTATTATTATTATTGATTGGAAACTAAATTTTTATTGACTTTTTTATTTGCTATTTATTTATATAATTATTATATATTTATTTATTTATATATACAGTATATAAACGGCTCTCATTTACTTGTAATTGTTTGTCATTTAACATATATATATATATATATATATATATATATATATAATAACCAAATAATTATTATTACAGTATTATCAATATTATTATTATTATTATGATTATTATTATCACTATTTTTTTTGTTGAGGACAGGGCTGTGATATTTCAGTGTTTTTTTTCTCTCTCTCTATATATATATTTCTCTAACTTTTTTTTCTTTGATGTGATATTTCAATATTTAAATTTATTATCAATACTTAAAAAAAATATATGAAAATAATGAATAAATATATATAAATGTGATTTGTTTTTTTTTAATAAAAATCATATGATATTAATAACATATTTAATATTAATTATAATGACGATTATAACGACAATAATAATTATTAATATTATAATAATAATAATAACAGCAAATAAAAAAAATATTTATTAAAATATTATTATTATTATTAAATTTTAATTAAATATATATAAATATTAAAATTTTATTTAAAAAACAACGAAACAATTTTTTTATATAWATATAAATGAAAAACAAACAAATCATTGTTTCCCCTCTTTTTGTTTGTTTGTTTGTTATATAAATATAATAAATATATTGATTTTAAAAATAAATGTCTTTCAAACAAAAAAAAACAAATGTTTTATTAAATAAATATATATTAAATAAATTGAATATTATATAAATATTATTATTATTATTATGTTTTCAATTAAGTAGACTTAAAAAACAAAAAATAATAATTTCTTATTTAATTTGATTTCAATTGAGTTGTTTTTTTTATTGTTTGTTTGCTTTATTTTTATTGCAATTATTATTAAATTGAAAAAATCTATTAATTTTTTTGTGACTTCTTTTTCATCGACAGATGAATTACAAGACATCTGTTGTTTGCTATAAGAAATGTTAACAAACAATACAGAGTCTGTATTACAGACAATACTTTATTATCTTATATTATAAATTAGTTTTTATTCATATATATATATATAAATAGAGAGAGAGAGAGAGAGAGAGAGAGAGAGAGAGAGAGAGAGAGAGAGAGAGAGAGAGAGAGAGAGAGAGAGAGAGAGAGAGAGAGAGAGAGAGAGAGAGAGAGAGAGAGAGAGAGAGAGAGAGAGAGAGAGAGAGAGAGAGAGAGAGAGAGAGAGAGAGAGAGAGAGAGAGAGAGAGAGAGAGAGAGAGAGAGAGAGAGAGAGAGAGAGAGAGAGAGAGAGAGAGAGAGAGAGAGAGAGAGAGAGAGAGAGAGAGAGAGAGAGAGAGAGATTATTATTATTTTTATTGAAAGTTTAATGTAATTTCAAAACTAATTATTATTTTATAAAAAAATAGTTTTTAATTTTAGATTTACATATTATTTATTTAGTAAATATTTTTTACTAATATTATTTTTAATTGAATTGAAAAGTTTAATGTAATTTCAAAACTAATTATCATTTTAACCCCACCCCCCCCAAAAAAATAGATATTTTATATCCTATCCTTAAATTAAATTAATTTATTAGTAGTGAAAATATTTATATATATTTTTTAAATACAGTTTATTTTGTCTCAAATTTATTTTTTTTTAATTTTAATTTTTCAATCAAAAATTATAGTCCTAAAATTGTAACTATTTTTTTTAAAAAAATAATAATAAATAATTGTAATTGTTTTTATGTTTGCAACTCAACAAAAAAAATCGTATAATAATAATAATAATAATACATTTAATAATTAAAATAATAATAAAATTAAAATTGTTTTCTTATTAAGAATTATTAAAATTATTTTTTTTAAATATCAATATTTTTAAGCATTTCTATTTGAAATGTTTAATAAATTATGATAAAAATTATGAAAAACATATAATAAATTGATTTTTTTTAATAACAAATAATATTAGCTGTAATAAAAAAAACTAAAAAAAATTAATTAATTATTAATTAATTATAATATTGAATCATTAAGTTTATAAAAAAAATATATTATTTATTTATTTTTTAAAAATAAAATCAATGAATTTAAATTTTATTAATATTAATAAAACCAATTAAAAACCAAATTAATACAAATTGAAATCAAATATTAAGTTTAAATTTTAAAAACTTTAAAAAAAAATTTTTTTAGTCACCCTTGAAATCAAAATAATCAATTTGTTTGCTATTATTATTATTTTTATTACTATTACTACTATCACTTGAGCTCTTTGTGGACGTCGTCGTAGTGCTGATGGTATCGGCAGTAATGTTGTTAATCAATGACAGACCACTACCGCCGACGCCGCCGCTCATCACTCGGCTATTGATCAATGAAAATGGTTTTTTCTGATCGTTTTCCGATTCAAAACAATGGCTTTTAAGTGTTATTTTATTCGCCGACGACTTGACTGTTGTCGTCGACGACAAATCACTTCCTCCTCTTCTGTCTTCATCTTCGACTTCTTTGCTGACAATATCCATGAGTGAGACAACTGGTAGATAACATTTGTCTTTGTTTGCCTTAGCTATGACACTACGATTCGGTTCCTTATCGACCGCTTGTGTCTTACAACCGAAATGTTGGGCCAATTCGTGAACAATATGCCGGTTCTCGGAGTTCATTGGCTGAAAGTTTTCGTTTTTGAAGGCCAGTCGCGATTGTTTGGCATCGATAACCAGTTGTGTTAGCCGYCGATAGATATGGCCGACAAATGACGGTTCACTTTTGACAGCGTTTTTAAGAAATTCCGAATATTTAGGCGGATCCGGATCGGCGCTGAACGTCGAGTCTTTGATGTCCAATGCTTCGGCCAGTTGTCGGTTGCGTTCATAAACGGCGCACTTGTCGTCGCATTTCAGTTGGATGTGTCGCATGTCTTTCAAACTTTTCATTATCTGCGAAACGTCAACACTTTCGCCGTTCTTCAGCCGTTGAGTGGCCAATGCGTTCAACGATACCACTCGCTGCTGACCCGAACTGTCGTCGCCGGTCTTATAGCACGCCATTTGTTCCGTTTTGCGGCCACAAATGCACTGAACTTTAACTAAGACTTTGCACTGGGATTTTGGACAGCTATCCGGCGATTGTTTCTGATGACAAGGCTGTCCGCATACGTGCTGACAATCGTTGCGTAGTTTATTGCACGGAAGCGAACAAGGATTGCATTTATCGTAATGACATATCATTGGACACGAATGTTGACCGCAATCGAGCGGTCGACCGCATAGATAGCCGCACGAATAGGACGATTCGTGACATTGTATTGGTTTGGCTTCGTGTCCGCCAAAACACGATTTGGCCACAAAGTAGGTACAGGGAGGACAATCCGGGTCGTCGTGACACAAATGATCGATCGGATGATTGCACGGATGACTACGGCTACAAACCAGACCGCAATCGGGTCGTTTGGTTCCGCATGCAATGGGCGGCAATCTGGTGGACGAACCGCACCGGCAGGTTAGCTCATCCCAGCCAATGTTCCAGCATTGCGGACATTGGCCGCTATGACACGATTCGGAACACTGGTGTCGACCGCACGACAACTTGCGGCCGCAAACCTGTTCGCACGGATGATCAGTTTTGATGCAACAAACATCAAGACATTTATGTCGACCGCAGACACGCTTTTTGTTACACCGTTTCTTGCAGACAAACAACGGTTTTTGTTGGTCATCGTTGTCGTCATCATCAGCTCCAGCAGCAGTCTTCTTGTTGTTGTTGTTGCTGTTGTTCATCAGTTCAACGCAGTCGACGTTCTCGCTGTTGGCACCGCATTGGCATTTGATTATAGTTTTCTGGTCGCACGGCTGACACGGGCCAGTATGACATTGACTACGACATCGGTGTCGGGCCTTATCGGGTCCGCAGACTAGTTCTTTGTCGCAACTGTTATCGCATGTCAGGATGGGATCCGTACAGACAGTGCGTACTTGTGTTTTTTGACCATCTAATAGATCCGATTGAAGTGTTCGACCACAGGGACAATGGGTAACCAGACGGGGATCTAATGGACAGTCGGGGCAGTCACCAAAATGGCACACTTGTTGACATTGATGTTGGCCACAGTCTAACTGTTTGTTGCATAACTGTTCGCACGAATAGTTTGTAATCAAATTGTTTTCAACATTGCAGACAACTTGTCGGTCGTGTTGGCCGCAGAAGCACTTCTGGATGGAAACCACTGAACAATCGGTACAGTTATCCGAATGACATTTACGTTGACAACGATGGGTACCGCAGTTCAACAGTTTCGCACATATCTTATCGCATATGACATCGTCATCGTTGGCTAAACAGTTGACTTTGATTTGTGTTTGACCGCAACCGCACTCGCGGGTAATCATCTGCGAACACGGAGGACACGAACCCGGATGACACATCAGCAGACATTTATGTGGACAGTTGTATTTGCGATTTTCGTTTGGCTTCCGTTTACGGCCACACATTTCGCCGCACGAATGCGGCGTCAGATAGCGATTCAGTTCCGGATCGCGAACTTTACCGCAAAAACAATTGTAACGATTGGGCAGTCGCTGATAGTCCGACTGACAGGCAGGACATCGCCAATTGATGATACTTTGGTCGCTTGATTGTCTCTGAGCCGATGACTGTGTATTAGCCCATAGTTTAATACATTTCAAGTGAAATACATTATAGCATTGTTCGCAACTCCAGACCGAGTCGTGTATACGGATTCGGTCGCAACAGACCATACATTCAAACTCGCCTTTTCTGAGCAATTCATCCATTATTTCTCTTTGAGATTCATCTGATTCGTGTATAACAACAGCAGTCGTCGTCTTCTTCGTCGTCTTTGTCATCTTCTGGACAGCATTTCGTTTGCAATCATCGTTGTTGTCATTGATTTTGTTGCCAACATTTACATCATTATAGTCGCTGTTATTCATACTGTTGTTTCCTTCCCGAGCCATACGATAGTTGCCGTTGTTGTTGTTGTCCTCTCTTTTCTTATAATTATTTTCGTATCGTTTGTTGTTATCTTTACGGCCATCGACTCTTCTGTCATCTCTTGTATCGACATTTCTCTGTTGATCTCTTCTGTCATCTCTTGTATCGACATATCTCTGCTGATCTCTCCTATCGACTCTATAATCAGCAACTCTTCTATCATCTCTTCTATCATCTCTTCTATCATCTCTTCGATCATCTCTTCTGTTATCTCTTCGATCATCTCTTCGATCATCCCTTCTGTCTTCTCTTCTGTCATCACTTCTATTACTTTTATTTATCTCAAATCTATCATCTTTTCGCTGATAAGGTCTTCGACCAAAATTACCACCAAATCTATCGCCACTTTTCTTGCCATTTAACGATCGCTCATCAGATAACTGTCCACTCAATGGTCCTCTCATATGTTGTTCAGATTGATGGCTATTATTATTATTTTGATAACCACTTTGTATATCAACTGTTAAATTGTTTGGTTCGGTCTGTTGTTGCTGTTGTTGACGTCTTCCACGGTTTTGATGATCACTTTGCCTATAGTTACCACTCTTTTGTTGATAATCTGCCCGATAGTCATGTCTTTGTTGATCCCTATAGACGTGTTGTTGTTGTTGATGATGATGACTACTACCACCGCCACCACTACCACTACTACTATCCAATTGTTGACCACTTTTACGATAATCTAATTGTCCGTCAAATGCATTATTATTATTATTATTATTATTATTACTATAAGTCATGGATTGGCCAACAAATGGCTGATAATTATAATTGTTTTGATGATAATAGCCATTGGTTTCATTGTTGTTACCGAAACCACTAGTGGCGGCCAAACTTTGTTGGCCAAAATTGTTGTCCGCCGCGGCCGCAAACATCGATCTTTGCTGATAATTTCGGTGACGATTATTATTATTATTATTATTACTAGTATTTTGATGATAATTGCGGCCAAAATTACGGCGACTTTCATACGATTGCGAACTCATTGTCTGTTAATTAATGGGAAAACAAAACAAAACAAACAAAACATTTGATTAATTAATTGCAATAAAAAATAATTAAAAAAACAAATCATTTAATTAATTACTAATAATAATAATAATAACATTCAATATATGGCTTACAGTTTGTGTACACGACTTATATATGATATTATTATTATAATTAACAACAAAAATAAAACAACAAAAAAATGTTATGTAATCTTAAAAATATGTTTTATATAAATATATATATAATTTTTTATAATAAAAAAAAATCTTAATTACAATTATTATTATTATTATTTTATATGATATTTATATGATATGTACTATTAATTTATTATTATTTTTTTGTCAACGAATACAACAAAATGTTTTTATTTTTATTATTATATATGAAATTCAAATCAATTTTTATAATACAACACAACATTTACATTACATTTACAACAATATACTGTATGTAATACTATATGTGTGTAACAACTGTTGTGTTTCGTTATACAAACGCTATATACCGTAGAAATATGTGTTTATTATTATTATTAGTATAAACTTTTCGATTATATTCAAAACCAGAAAACAATAGGCAGACGTACCACACACACAAAAACATAGATATATCATAGATTACATTTAATATACAGTAAAAGGCAAACTTTATTAGACACCTATTGTATATAAATACTTTGATATTATGTAATTTTCGGATATACTCATAGTTCATTTTAGTGCATTTCTATACTATGGTTGTCTAATAATATTTGCCTTTTATGGTGCGTATAATAACAACTATGTAACATATAATATTTTATAGTTTATAGTCTATGCTTTGTAAAAACTCCGTCACCTCCCTAAGCACTAAACACTACTTGCGCTGCATATGCTTATATTACTGTGTTATTGTTGTTATGGATTTGAATATAATCGAACATTTATATACATATACTGTAATACTATTAATACTATAATAGTACTGTATTTTGTGAAACCATTACAGTATTAACGTCTCTCTCTCTCTCTCTCTCTCTCTCTCTCTCTCTCTCTATTTTTTCTAGGTTTGGGGCAAATTCCATCCAACCGTTATATTAACCCCCCCCCTCCCCCAAAAAAAATTCCTCTATATTTATTGTAGCTTGTGCTACTACACCTATTGACCTAGACAAAATTATTATTATTATCAATATATAAGATTTGAATATACAAATTAGTTGTATTTTAAAACAATCTGAAAATAGATGCCCAGGGCAGGCATTTAGCAAAATTGGCATCTATTGTTTATGCCTACCGTTTTTAAAAACCCTAGTAATAATACTGTACACTGTAGTAGTAGTAGTAGTAGTAGTAATGATAAACAAATTCAACAACAACAAAAAAAACAGTGTATATCATACGTTTTTCTAACGTAATAATAATAATTGCAATTAAAAATAAAAAGTTAATTAAAATTTAAACAGAAACAACTACAGTGTGTGTGTATATATATATGCATGTATGTGTGTGTGTGTATATGTATGTATGTGTGTGTGTGTGTATATGTATGTATGTGTGTGTGTGTGTGTGTGTGTATGTATGTGTGTGTGTGTATATGTATGTATGTATGTGTGTGTGTGTGTATATGTATGTATGTGTGTGTWTGTGTGTGTGTGTGTGTGTGTGTGTGTGTGTGTGTGTGTGTTTGTGTATATGTATGTATGTATGTGTGTGTGTGTGTGTGTGTGTGTGGCTATGGGGCTGGAAAATTTTAAAATATTGGAGGAAATTTATTTGGGAACTTTCTATATACAGTATATACCCGGTACTATATATAACAGTACTGTATTTATTAGTATCCAGTGTTGGCAGAGACAAAATATATTTATAATACAAAGCGTATTATACAGTATAATACAATTAGTAATTACAAAAATAAAAATTTAGCGCAAACTAGTAAAATAAAAGCATGTTTTGTAATAATTATTTTTAGTTTATTTTTTAATTTTCATAAAATTTCAAATTAGCTATTCAATTAAAATTCTAGTATTTTGAAATTATTTCAAAATCTATACTACTATATAATTTGTTCAATGCCAATTTCTGTCAACGCAAACAATTAAATTTAATGTGTCGCACGATTATTAATAATTTTAATTTATTAAATAAAAAAAAAATAAAAATACTTTTTAAAATACACTGTATATTTTATAGCGCGTGAAAGCATTGTTTAGTAAAGAGAGAGAGAGAGAGAGAGAGAGAGAGAGAGTATTGTTGCACGTGTTAACTATTGATACACATTTTATTACATGGATCTAACATTAGTATATTAATAATTAAGATTAATTTATTAATTATTAATTAATAGTTTTTAGAAAACAACTATTCTAATAATAATAATAATAATTTTAATTAAGAAAAAAATAATAAATATTTTATCACTGTTTATGTAATTTTTACTAAAAATATTGTAAAAATACAACCAATATTTTATTGTATTTTACAAAAATAATTTTTTTTATTAAAAAAAACTTGTATTTTTCCAACCCTGTAGTCCATACTATAGTACTGTACTGTGTATTCAAACATCAAAAATAAATAAATAAACCAAAAAAAAACAAAACATTTGTAAACACATTGAATGGAAAAACTGTTTGTTATTATCATTATTTAGAGACAACAACAACAACAACAACAACAACAACAACATTAGTCAACTAAACACATGATATGATAGTTACCATCGATGATGATAATGACGATAACATTCATTGATATTCAGTTATGACAACAACACCGACACCGATGATGACGATGACAGCACATGTTATGCAATGTCTGTCAACTAAGAGACTATTGTCGGCATTGATAGCACTGATTGCGGCCTTTATTGTCCTAACATTGCGTAAGTATACTATAGTTTTAGCCATCAATTACTTTTAATTAGCTGATCCACTCCCTCCTCACTCACCCGACAGTGACCTACAGCAACATTACCGACGATGTGACCACCGTCGGCGTCGATAAGCCAGTATCGTCACCAACCGGTCGATTGGTGGCCACGAATGGCAAGAGTTCCGCCGCCGCCACCACCGCTGCAACCGCTGATGTGTTGGACATGTTTGACAAGTTGTCGATATCGTCGGCGTCGTCCTCATCGTCGTCGAAGAGCATCCAAACGATTCGCAACTATTGCAACGTCTTTACCAGTATCTCATTGAACGACGAACTGATGGATGTTTCGTCGTCGGCGTCGTCGTCGGCGGACTCAGTGATACCAGATCTAAGTCTACGACACGTATCGGTACTTATCAGACACGGCGATCGCGGACCACTGCGACCCGTGCGGGGAATGTCGGCCATACGTTGCGATCCGTTTATCGCTGGCAGCGGCGGTGGCGGCCATCAGTCTATAAATTATGAGCTAAACAACAATAACATCTACAAGAACTTCTTTGGCGACACAAATCGTTTGAGACAGTTGTCGAAGAATTATGCAAAAACACCGAACTCTGGCTGCGAATTGGGCGGTCTTACCCGATACGGTTGTGTCCAGCATCTGACACTTGGCTCACTGTTAGCCCGGACCTATGTCCCGGTCCTGAATCTGACCAATCATCGGCAGATGAAAGTACTGTCTACGCCCTACTCCCGAACCTATCAGAGTGCTCTGGCCTTTACCTACGGTTTCTGGCGACCAAAATCTATCATCGATTTCAATACATTTCCCCGTATTATCACTACTTATGGCACCTATTTTTGTTCGTCGCCCGACTTCTGTACGAAACGATGCAAACGACTCGAATCGTTACAGAAGTTACTCAACGATCATAAACAGCGAATACTTGGTCAGCATCCGGCCGTCAGCGAGTTGTTGGCCGATCTGAAACTGATTGTTGCCAACAACAGTGCCGATAGTCGTCTATACGAATCCCCCGTTGCATTGTTCGATGGATTGATGGCCTACATGTGCCACAACAGTGGTCTGCCGTGCAATGATGATGACGACGACGACAATGTCAATCGGCGGCGATGTGTAACACTCGATAAAGTCAAAGAATTGGTCACTTTTGTCGAATTTCACGGCAAACAGATGTTAGTTTCTGATGTCTTTCGACATATAAATTGGCTAAAAATATACGGTTTTCTCAAAACACTTGTCAAAAGTGTTGTCGACATTAATAGTCCGCAAAATCGGGACAATAGGTTTGTCCTATATTCTGGTCACGACATTACTATCGTAGCCTTGGCTTCGGCTCTGGATTTTTTCGACGGTATTATACCGCCCTATGCTTCGCGAGTCATATTTGAAGTGTACGAACAATCTCATGGATCAACTACTGGTGATAGTAGTAGTAATACTAATACTAATAATAATAAATATTATCTCAGAATTGTCTACAATGGCAAAGATGTTACTCGTTTTACAGAGATTTGTAAACTTAGTCCACAAAAATGTCATCAATTCAATAGTCGTCAACAAATTAATAATAATAATAATAATATTAATTTGATTTCAGTCAACGATTTCAGTGATTTCATTGATGACAAGTTCTTGCAAATCACTCAAACCATGGATTATCAAAAAGCATGCGATTTATGATTTTTTTTTTTTGGTTTTTTATTATAATTATAATAATTAAAAAAAACATTTTTTAATATATTTCTATATACATGTATATAAATATATGAAACTCATATTTTTTATGTGATTTGTTTAAACAATTTATTTTCAAAAAAAACTTGAAAAGTTTTGTTTTCTGAAATCTATACGAGCCTTTTTTGTGTGTGTGTGTGTGTGTGTGTGTAGCAATTTTTTTGGAATTTTGAAATTCTGACTTCAGATTCGGTTAGAGGACTACTAATAATGTATTGAAAAGTTGAATTAAAATTTTGATATTTCTTATTATGCCAAAGTATTTTATTTTTTTAAAGTATAGATTTGAATAAAGCATCAAAAACAACATAAGAAATATGCATTAAAATTTTGATCTCTTCGGGATCATAAAGAAAATGGCGGCCAAAGTAACAAAAATTAGGTAAAAATTTTAACGTTTAGAATTGTAAAGAGCATCAAAAAAATGATATAATATTTCAGCATATTTTTTTTAAATGGCGGCAAAAGTATAAAAAAATTTTATTTAATGTATATTTGACCAGTTTTTAAATTTTTATATATTATATAGCCGCTATAACTAATGGTTTTCAATGCTATTCAAGTTTTTTTTCTGAAAATGCTTTCTAGCATTCTTAACTGGTTTATTTTATTTTTTAGTTTAATTAATCTCAACAAAATTTTTATTATTATTATTATTATACTATTATATACTGTAGTACATTGAATGTGCAATATTTTTAATATAATACTAATATAATACTAATTAATAAAATTGTAATAATATTTTTTATTATTATTATACTGTATATATATATATACTTAAAATTTATATAATTGCGGTAAATATAAATAAATTTATTAACATTAATATCAAACAATTAATTTTTTTATTTTTTTAAATTATATCAAAACAACAAATTAACAAATACTAGACATTGATTTGCGAAATGTGTTTAAAACTTTTTGATAATTTGGATCGGAATCGATGTCCACCAATAGGTCTTCAAATTCATTGTCAATAACTTTAGTTTTATTATTATTATTATTATTACAATTAATATTATAATTATTATTAGTAGTATTATTTTGTATATAATTATTTTGATTTCTATTATTAAGCTTAGGTATGAACTGATTATTACTATTATTATTGTTAATATTATTAATATTATTTGATGGCAATAGTAGTGGACAGGGAAGCAGTTCCTTCATAATGCTGTGATGGACGACAAGCGATTCAATTGTCGGGAACTCCTTAGTGAAACCCTTCATTAAATTAAAATTTAAAAAAAAAACAATTAGTTATTGATATTAATAGGTATGTCATTACAAAGTTTTAAATAAAGATTATAAGAATTATTTTTTTTTTTTAGAAAATATTATCAATTATTTTATTTTTTTAAAACATTACATACCTTTATCTTAAATGCATTTTTATGGGTCATTTGGATCAGATAGTGTGCAATACCTTGCATTTGATAATCGTTGGGTACTTTTAAGGTCAATGCAAAACAATTATCTTTTGTTGTCGAGTATCTGATAATGAATGAACCGATCGGACAGCTATTCAGCATTTCGATAGCCATTTCCCGTTCAGTCGATCCATAAAACCATTGCTGATCTTCAATAGTAATTGAATTGTTATTATTATTATTATTATTACTATTATTGCTGTACTTTAGTTGTTGAAAATCTTTGCTGAGATTAAGTGCCGATAAATGATAGGACTTATTGTTATTATTGATATTTGTTTGTTGGCTATTATAATGATTTTGATTATCATTATTATTACTACTATTAATATTATGCGATGACAATCCCATTGAATACAATTCATTATCGTTAATCATAACCCTATCCATCAGTTGCATAGATACCAGTCCTTCATCATCACCAGCACCACCACCACTACCGCCGCCACTTCTGTTGATAAAACTGACCGATACTGGTGTTACCCGCGATGTCTGCATAGTATAGCATTCGTTAATTGTTGTCGACTTCTGGTTAGGATTATTACGATGACTACGACGACAACTACCGGTGGCCGGGCTTTGGTTACGATGGACACGAGTAGTAGTACTTCGTTGCTCTGATTTCATAATCAGACAGATATTGTTTAACGATTGTGAACAACATCTGCTGCTGTTGTTGTGGTTGTGGTTAGCGATGACATCCTTCTTCAGATGACAGCGCGACGAAGACGATGATAATGAAGACTTTTTACGCCAAACCAACTGATTTAGTAACTGTTTGATTGAACTGTGGTTCAGATGATGTATGTCCGATGATGATGATGACGACGAGGACGACGTGTTGGCCATAAATTTATGAAGAAATGGTATTGAATTCATTTTTTTTTTTTTTTGAAAAGTTTTTGATTGAAATAATAAAATCAATTATTATTTATTTTGTTGAATACAAGACAACAACAACACAGAGACACACAAAGAGATAGACTTTTTTCCTGTGGAGACGACTTTTTTTTAAAGTTATATATATTATAAATTTGTTGATAACTTCTTGTTTGTTGGACTTTTTAAGTGCTGTCGTAGTGGTAGTAGTAGTCATGTAGTCATAGTCGTCGTCGTAAAAGCAATGATCACACATATCCTGTGGAAAGCCGTTCAACAAGTTTTTTGAACGAAAAATAGTTTCTTCAGTTTAATAGATTCTTTGCCTCTCTCTCTCTCTCTGCTCTCTCTCTCTCTCTCTCTCTCTCTCTCTCTCTCTCCTTGTCTTCGTGTGTGAGAAACGATCACTAACTCTGTGTGAGAGCTCATTGAGAAACAACTTTGAGAGCCTTTTCACAGCACAGGTGCTCTCAAATCTCTGTAGTCGTGTCCAGTCTTTAAGGCTTCTCTCTCTCTCTCTCTCTCTCTTACCGCTACAGCTATAATAATAGCTTTTATAGCTCTCTGCATACTATACACAGTCAGTGTATAGCAGCAGTAGTTATATTGTATGCGCTCTGGTATGCGAGAGAGAGAGAGAGAGAGAGAGAGAGAGAGGACAGGTAGGTATGTGTGGCACTCTGTGCGGCTGTTAAAGCAAAGGTATGCCACATAATAATAATAACCACATTCTTGGGTTTAATACTATAAAACTAACTTTAAAAACAGCTTTACATTTACAACAGACACACACACACACACACACACACACACACACATACATGCACATACACATACACACACACACACACACACACACACACACACACACACACACACACACACACACACACACATACAGTACAAACTGTATAAACACCGGAAAGATGTTTACTTTGCTTTTCATATGAATTACTTATTTTTTTGGTGGGTTTTGTTTGTTTGTTAACGACAAACAAATTGCTTTATACTTATTATTATTATTATTATTATTTCAGCCCAAATGGCCAGTTAGTTGTTTGCTAGTTGTCTACACCTATTTCAACTGTATTATTATTATATACAGTATATATACAGTACTTACCGTATAAGTACTTATATACTATATATTGGTTTTTTTTAAAAAACAAAAACTATAATTTTATCTCTACTATACACACAGTGTGTATTAAATTATAAACAATTTAAAAACAAAATATTTTATTTTATTTTTTTAAAACAAACTATTTAGTAGTTTAATTAATTTTATGGTATAATTAGTCAGTATATTATACAATATACAAACACTAAACAAAAAAATATTAAAATAAAAACTAATTTTTTGATTATTTAAACAATTAAAACAAAACTTAAATAATACTCGTTTTATATATATATTTACTAAAAGTGTATTTAAAAAAATTGACCTAGCTCAATGATATTTTTGTTGTTTTATACAACTATTGATTTTCTGGCAAATTCTTATGGAATATTTTTATTTATTTATTTTTGGTAATACAGCTCAGGTATGTGGGGACAGGCGGGGGGTCTAGGGTGGGGTCTAGACTTATTGAATTTTTAAATGGCAATTTTTTTTTTAAAAATAATAATAAAAACTTAAATTTTAACTAAAAAAAATAAAATAATAATATATTTAAAATTTAAAAATAGATTCTGACATATATATATATGCAGATATAGCATAATATCTATATTGGTATTAAATATTAAAATATTTTCATTTAGTTTTCATTTTGAAAATTGCCAAAACACCTATCAAATGAATTTTAACTATGTATAATTGGATATAATTATATTTGATCTAGCTCATATAATTTATATATATATATATATGTATTTATACAAATAATTGATTGTTTAATAATACATACAATTTGTTTATATATTAATATTATAAACCTATTATATAACAAAAATAGTTGTATTAATAGTGTATAATAAAAGTCGTAGAAAATAATCCAAACTAAGAAAATAAAATAAAATACAATATTTATTTTAGTCATCAAACTATTAGCTCTTTTGTCAGTTAATACAGTCTCAGAGATAGATAGATAGATAGATAGATAGATAGATAGATAGATAGATAGATAGAGAGAGAGAGAGAGAGAGAGAGAGAGAGAGAGAGAGAGAGAGAGAGACTAAACTCAATGTCAATTAATAATTTAAATAAAAAACAAAAATTATTATAATATAATATAAATAAGATAAAACATTGAAAAAGTAATTAAATTACATAAATATAAATTATATATTAGTTAATATATATATATACTGTATATAATAGAAAAATTTCCCATTTAATAAAAAATTGTTATTTAGTTAATAGTATAGCAAAATGTTTGGGCATTAATATATCGATACGTTTTAAATATTATTATACAGTATTTAGAAATAAATTTAATATAAAAATTGAAATTGAAATTTATAATTACAGCTAATTTTAATTACTAAATAAAAGTATATTTATAATAATTTTATAATAACAACATAAATAATACTAACGTTAGTGTTAAAGATTTTTAAGTGAATTATATGTATATTTTGAAAAATAGTGTAAAAAAAGTTATTTCATAAAAATAATAATTAATATTTCAATTTAATTGCCTAAATGTCTGGTGAAATCAAAACTACTGAACCACTGATGATGGATAAGCTGAAGAAGAATTGGATGGAAATGAGTGTCAAACAAAAACGGCGAACCGTTTTCAAGATTTTGTTGTTTTTAGTGTGCGGTTCACTACTTGTATACCACGGATGGCAACTGTTTGATCAGTACAACAGCGGCAAAACATTGGTAACCATTAAGTATACCCGTTTGAAACGGGAATCGGTTCCGGCGTTTACCGTATGTCTGCCAATGGCCTTACGTATGGACAGATTGGCCGATCGGTTCCCTGAGTTACAGGAAAATTATACCCGATATCGGAAACTAATGGATACCGTAGATGATAGCGATTATGATAATCAAACACTGAAAGATAGTTTAGCCGAAATGTATAATCAGTTTGTCGACTATTATACTGACAAACGTTTGCCATTAAACGATATATACAGTAGTGATAGTAATCTAACGGTTCCTCAATTGATAACCAATTCAAGCGATACAAATCGGACAATCGGTGGCCAATATATCATATCAATGATTAATATATATAATAATAAAAAGTTAACGCATGTTAGCGATTATCAGCCAATTGTTTCGCTAATGAATTTGGTTTATCCGACAAAATGTCTGACATTTTTCAGTGAACTTAACCATCGGTATCGACAATACAAACACAATTTGGATTCAATATTTTTTATGATCGGTCACAATAAACATTGGTTTCCGGCCTCAATGTACGACAATTGGCCACTATTTCTGATAATGCATTCGTCAAACAATACACCGTACGATACGTATACGGAAAATGTATTTTCCCTGCATATGAATAACTACTATTGGATCGGCTATTCAACCATTAAGACTATACGATTGCCGCCCAATTGGGATACTAAGTGTCGGGAATATAATATCTATGATTATAATAATAGCGGCACCGGTAGTAGTGGTCACCCGCGAACCCGATTCGAGTGTCGCTATCGATGCTTTCAGCGACTAATTCAGCAAAAAAATCGCTGTTGTGTTAACAATACTGTCGACAATAACAATACGATTATCGATTGCAACCAATGTATACCATGGGATGTCAGTCTAATACCCGACTATCTGACCGTTGATAATGTGTCCACGTGTTACAAATATGTTGACTACGGCTCATGTGAGCTACCGTTTCGCGACAGTTGCGATGAACAGTGCCCGGACTCGTGCTATGAAAACCATTATCTAATGTCATTGATTAACAAACAAAAAGTCCAGTTTATTGCTAGTAAATCAAATCGATGGGATAACGCAACCGTAAGCGCCTATATCCGACATTCGGCACATTTGGATCAGTTGGTTGAGCACAGCCCCGAAATGACCCGAATAGAGTTCCTATCGAATTTAGGCGGACTGTTGGGCATGTGGTTAGGTTTAGCCGTTTTTAGTCTATTGGATTTGATTGTCAAAATATTTTAGTACTGGTACTAACTTTGTTGTTGTTGTTGTTGTTGTTAGTATTGATTGATTTGATTATTTAAAAAAAAAACTAAAATTATATATTTCAATGTACTGTAAAATTATATTATATTATTAATATAAGTTATCGACTATTATAATGAAAAAAAATTTACAATATAGATATTTTTAGGTTAAATTTTTCAATAATTACAGTATTATTATTATTATTAGGTTTTTAGTAAAAATAAAAGTATTATATTTTTCACAACTTTTGTGTTGTATATATATATATATATTTTAAAAACTTTTAAATCAAACTTCAATCAGCATTAAAATTATGATATCTGTTGGTATTTACAAGTGTCGGGTGTATAATAGTGAGCACCGGTAGTAGTTTAGCTACCGATGCTTTCAACGACATATTTACCTAAATAAAAAAATCGTTACTATGTTAACAATAAAAATAACAATAAAAATACTAATTATTTACTAATTTATTATATTATATATCTTATAGATTTATATCAGTTTTTAATATTATAATATACCGTCAAATATTATTTGTAATATTTAAAACATTAATTTTTATTTACATACATTTTGTATATAAAATATTTTATTTACAAATAATAAATTAAGACTTTATATATCACATTATATAAACGCTATATATATATATATATATATTGATATATAAACTTAATTTTTAAAAGATCTTCTAATTATAAATAGACGATTCAAACAATATAACCGTATGAACAACAATTGGCCGTCTTTTTGGGCGACAGTACCCGAAACGGTAGGTACGCTATCAAGCGTTTGCGTACTGACCGAAACCTCCCAGTGTTTGCTAAACGCTTTGCATATATAGTGGTCGTCTCTTATCTTATTTTTTTCAATGATTAATATTTAAAAAAAAAAAATTAATTAATTTATTTATTCAACAAAAACTACTACTACTAACCCATTCAACTAAAACATCCGACAATAATGCGTCCGAAATATCTAAATGATTGCCTATAGCTGTCGATAATTTCTTCAAAAAATTATAAATACAATCAATTAGTTGTCTGGGTTTCGATGCGTTGATAAATAGCTATAATAATAATTATAATAAATTTTGTAAAAATAAAATATTTTTTTTTTGTATTTATAACTGACATCAACAGAAATTATAACCAATTCTTCATCTAATTGTTGTTGTTTTATCAGATCCAGCGTTTGACGTCTCATTGGTGGAGACGAGTGCCAACTCTCCAATGTCTTAGACATTATTGAAAATTACAACAACAACAAAAAATTATCGGATTTTTTATTTTTTAATTATCGATTTAATTATTGATTGATTGATATATAAAAATAAATATAATTTTAATTTAATTTAATATTAATTTTATTGCTAATTAATTTGTGCAATAAATATATATATATATATATMTCTATATATTTATAATAATGTGTTGTTTAACATTTAGTTACATCCATATTGACTTTTATTTTACAGTTAATTTTGCCACACATTAAACAATGTATTTAATTTTTAAAAATAACTAACTGTTATTAATTATAATAATACATTTTAAATTTAATAATTTTTTTTAATTGTTGTTACGCTAAATATAAAGTGTGACAATAATATAAACATTTGTAAATTATATATTAAAAACTAATTGTATTGATTTCTATGTTATAGAGTTCATAAAATTACAATTAAAACAAATATTATATATCTTTATATTAAAAAAGATTTTTTTGTCAGATAACAATACATTACTATCTCATAAATAATATATTTATTTATTTAATTTTTTAATTAAATATATATATATATTTTAAAATAATTAAAAATAGCGCGAAACGTAAAAAAAAATTATTCAATAATCTTAAATGATTTTTCAACGGGTCTCGCGATTCTTATAATTATTAATTATTAATTAATTTAATACAAATATATACAGTATTTATTTACTTTATATAAAATACAAAATTAAATTAATAAATTATAATTATAGAGATTGAGTGGGTGTGTCGGGTTAGTGAATTAATAGATTACATAATGAACGGCGAGAAACATAAACAGAGAGAGAGAGAGAGAGAGAGAGAGAGAGAGAGAGAGAGAGAGAGAAGAGAGAGAGAGAGACAGACAGACAGACAGACAGACAGACAGACAGACAGACAGACAGACAGACAGAGAGAGTGAGAGAGAGAGAGATAGAAGAGAGACATACAGATAGAGAGAGAAAAAATTGTAAAATTAAATAAACCATGATATTTAATAATTATAAATGTGACAGGCTAATGCACTAGTTAAATATTTAAAAAAAATTGTTTGTCATATAACAATACATTGCTATCTCATGAATAATACAAAATAATTTTTTATTTAATTTTTTAATTTAATATATCAATATAACACTTTAAGATAATAGTCTCTGTCTGTTTGTTTGTGTGCACATTTCATCAACAACCATATTTTAATTCAAATCTAAAAATGTATTGTTATATTTTCAATTTTAATTTAAAGCAATGTTATTTGTATGGAAAATTTTAAATGATTATTGAGCTCAGGTAGGTTTTAGGTACAGGTAGGCAGGTGCTGTGTAATAACATATTGCTATATTGTATGAGTCTCAGGGCACCGGGAGTTTAGTTACATGTGCTAAGTTTTTGTAAAATTTTCTCAAATACAAAATTTTCCAATTTATGTTAAAATATCCAATTTTTATTTAAAGCAATGCTATATGTATGGAAAATTTTAAATGATTATTGAGCTTAGGTAGGTTTTATGGACAGGTAGGCAGCTGCTGTGTTATTACATTTTGCTATATTGTATGAATCATAGGGCACCGGGAGGTTAGTTAAAAGTGAAAAAAAAATTTTCATATGCAAATTTTTTTTAAAAATAATTAAACTTAAATTTTTAAAAAATTATTTAAATAAACATAAAAATCTAAAATTAGACTAAAAAGAGTTTAGACGTATTAATGTATGTAATTTTTCAATGGCGATTCTTATAATTAAGTAATTAAATAAAAATATTTATTTATTTATTAAATATATAATACAAAATCAATAAATTATAATTATAGAGATGAAAAATGAGCGAGGTTAATGAAAAAACAGGTTAGATAATAATGAGAATCAGACATATGAAAGGGTGAGAGACAGATAGATAGATAGATAGATAGAGAGAGAGAGAGAGAGAAAGAGAGAGAAAGAGAGAGAAAGAGAGAGAGAGAAAGAGAGAGAGAGAGAAAAAAAATTAAATAATTGAATCTTTATATGCAGAGACCACTCATAAATATTTAGATTATCATAATCATAATCATAATCATATCATAATCATAATCAGATAATCATAAACCACTCATTTATAAATGTCTCATATTTACGGTTAACTCTTTACGGCAAAATATAAAGTACGCTCTCATAAAATAATAACTAAATGATAGACATTAAGAAAGTTTTACATTTGTTTAAGTATTAGTACTATTTTTGATAAAAAGAGTCATCAGTTTATGAGTGGTTTCTGCATATAAAGTCTCAATTGTATATTTTATTTGTAATTTTGTAGAAAAATATATTACTTTTTTTTAATCGCATATTAAAATGGTAATGTACTAGGGGGGAGGGGGAAGAGGTGTAGTTCCTCAGTGAGCTAAACTATGATATTTAATAATTGTAAATGTGACGGCCTAATGCAATAGTATTTATTGTTTTGATATTTTTATTTATATTTTTATTTTTAAAAATCAATCAGTCCATACATTTGATAAACGTATTGTCAGAATAGCCGATCCAATAGACCGTTATTCATATTATTAGCAAAAAAAACATTTTCAGTATATTTATATAGAGTATATACAGTATATGAATCGTACGGTGTATTGTTTGTATCGATTGGTATTAATCGGAAACAGTGGCCAATTGTTAATGGCTAATACATTGATATCGTGGAAACCATTGTTTATTGTGGCCGATTTTATTTAAGATATTTAATTCATATTGGTTTAACTTGTAATTGTTTTTTTTATTATTATACACATTAAGATCATTGCCATTATATACTGTATATATATATTGGCCGCCAATTGTCTGATTCGTATCGCTTGAATTGGTTATCATATATAATTTTTATTGTATTATTTATATTTTAATAAAAATTGTCAAAAAACGCAAGATTCAATGAAAATATTATTACAAACAAAATATTATAATAATTTATAATAAAACTTTAATATTTACTAATAATTATAATATAACTTTTAATATAATTTTCATTTTATTAGTTATATGCTAATAAAAATTGTCAAATACGCAAGATTCATTGAAAATATTATTACAAACAAAATATTATAATAATTTATAATAAAACTTTTATATTTAATTATAATTATAATATAACATTTAATTTATTTTTATTGTATTATTTATATATTAATAAAAATTGTCAAAATCGCAAGATTCAATAAAAATATTATTACAAACAAAATATTATAATAATTTATAATAAAACTTTTATATTTAATAATAATTATAATATAACTTTTAATATAATTTTTATTTTATTATTTAAATGCTAATAAAAATTGTCAAAAACGCAAGATTCAATGAAAATCTTATTACAAACAAAATATTTTAATAATTTATAAAAAAACTTATATTTACTAATAATTATAATATAACTTTTAATATAATTTTTATTTTATTATTTAAATGCTAATAAAAATTGTCAAAAACGCAAGATTCAATGAAAATCTTATTACAAACAAAATATTTTAATAATTTATAAAAAAACTTATATTTACTAATAATTATAATATAACTTTTAATATTATTATTTTTGTATTATTTATATGCTAATAAATTAGCAAATTTTGATAACTAAATATCTGTATATTATTAATTATGTGTTTAGCATTAGTTAGTTTTGAACGTTGTTTTAACAATGTTTTAAATTTAAAAAAAAAATACTAACTGTTAATTTCAATTAATTAATAATAAATTTAAAATTTTTTAATTGTTGTATCGCTCAAAGTGTTATCTTGAAATCTACAGTATATATATATATAAATTATATATCATTATATCACTAATTGTGTCTTCAATTAATTGATTGATTTTGTTTGTCTGTATCTCTCTCTCTCTCTCTCTCACTCTGTGTGTGTGTCTGTCTGTTATGGCGGCACTAAATGATTTTAATGATCAAACCATTAAAGTATTTAAACAAATGGGTTATCGTATACAACAGTTAATTAATATCGGAAGCTTTGGCGATGTATATAAATCAATATATAGAGACAGTGAGGTTCGGGCGGCAAAAAGTTATTGATTTGCGACGCGTTAACAAACGTACCCGAGATGTTGACATTTGTCGCGAAATGGCCGCTTTGATTGAGATAAAGCATCCGAATGTTATCAATTTGTTTGATGTTTTTTAGGGCTAATAACCAAAATTTTCTTGTTTATGGAGTTTGCAGTCAACAGTGATGTCGGCAACTATTTGTTAGCTAACGGTGCTATCGATTAAAAAATTAGCCCTCAAATGGTTCAAACAAATAGCCGATGCTCTCAATTCTGTGCACAAAGTCGTCAACTAGGCTCACCGGGACATCAAAGTCGATAATATCCTTTTGTTCAATGATTATAATTTAGCAAAACTGGCCGACTTTGGTTTGGCCAGATATTCGCTATCGCAACTAACCAATCAGATTGAAATATCGCAAACATTTTGCGGTACCGTTGCGTATATTTCACCGAAACAATTGTTGAATATAGGTTACAATCCGTTTGCGGCCGACTGTTGGGCAATGGGTGTCACATTGTTTTATATGATTAATAATATATTACCATTTGGTTCGAGTCCGGGTATCAAACAAATTAAACAATTAAAAACAGGTGGTTCCGAATATGTGTCCAAATTATACAATAAGACAGTCATTAATAGAATAAGTCGAGACTTACGGGAACTGATCGACCATTTGTTGGTCTACGATGAAGACAAACGCTGGACTATTACCGATGTACTAAAATCCAAATGGTTGGGCAATAATTAAGATAACTATATTAAATTAATAACAATATTTTCAATAGTTTTAATTACATTACAAGTAATTTAATATTATTATTATAAAGTATAAAAAAATTAAATTATATTTTTATTAAATATTTATTGAATATTAAATTCTGTATGAATTTACTAAATATTAATGATTTTATAGTGATTTAATTAAAAATATTTAGTAAAACATTCAAATAGCATTGATTTTTGAAAATTTGTTATTTAAAATATTTGTACTTAAATTTAGTTATTCTGGTCAATGATTGTGTCAATCATTTTTTAAGTCAATACTATAGTCTTATAATATTGTCAACACTAGTATGCGGTCAATGTTGTCATCAGAAAAACAATTGCCCGATAGTTTGTCTCATAAATCCCAGTGCAAAGTATTAGTTAAAATTTTGTGCAGTTGTGGCCGCAAAACGGAACAAATGGCGTGCTATAAGACCAACTCGGATGTCAGTTCGGGTCGATTGGTTTCGCTGAACGCATTGGCCACACAACGGCTGAAGAACGGCGAAAATGTTGACATTAGACTGACCACCCATACAGGTGTCGCCTTTATTATTATATAGGAATGTAGGGTCAGATACAGGTGACAGGAAAGGTGGCTAACATGTCTAGTGTAATTAGTTTAAAATATTTTAGTTTAGTTATAAAATATTTTAGTTTAGTTTTAAAATATGTTAAATTAATTGATTAATAAAATTATAAAATAGTTTTAATAGAAAAAAATTGCTTGTATTTTAAATATTCACTTTAAATACTTTTTATTATAATCTAAAAACATAAAATTTAACTTTTTTATAATATCAAAAATTTATATTATATCATAGATATATATATATATATATATATATATATATATATATATAAAGTTAATTAAATATACATGAAAATGCAGGTGAAAATCATTTATTTTATAATATTATAAAAGTTTGAAAGACATGCGACACATCCAACTGAAATGCGACGACAAGTGCGCCGTTTATGAACGCAACCGACAACTGGCCGAAGCATTGGACATCAAAGACTCGACGTTCAGTGCCGATCCGGATCCGCCTAAATATTCGGAATTTCTTAAAAACGCTGTCAAAAGTGAACCGTCATTTGTCGGCCATATCTATCGGCGGCTAACACAACTGGTCATCGATGCCAAACCAATCGCGACTGACCTTCAAAAAAACGAAAACTTTCAGCCAATGAACTCCGAGAACCGGCATATTGTTAACGAATTGGCCCAACATTTCGGTTGTAGGACACAAGCGGTCGATAAGGAACCGAATCGTAGTGTTATAGCTAAGGCAAACAAAGACAAATGCTATCTACCAGTTGTCTCACTCATGGATATTGTCAGCAAAGAAGTCGAAGATGAAGACAGAAGAGGAGGAAGTGATTTGTCGTCGACAACAACAACAGTCAAGTCGTCGGCGAATAAGATTATACTTAAAAGCCATTGTTTTGAATCGGAAAACAATCAGAAAAAACTATTTTCATTGATCAATAGCCGAGTGATGAGCGGTGTCGGCGGTGGTCTGTCATTGATTATTACCATTACTGCCGATACCATCAGCACTACGACGACGACGTCCACAAAGAGCTCAAGTGATAGTAGTAATAGTAATAATAATAATAAAAATAATAATAATAGCAAACAAATTGATTATTGTTAATATTGTTGTAAATACAAAAAATTTACATATTTATTATTTGCTTTAATATATGTTTTAATATATACAGTATATAAAGTTTTAATATATTATTTGTAAATAATATATTTTATACGAACATTATGTAAACAAAAAATTAATCTTAAAATTACAAATAGCTTTTACGTTATAATATAAATATAAGTTATAGTATAATAAATAATCAGTTATTCTGTATATCTGTTTCTATTACATAATGACTAACTGTAAGTATAAAAAACAATCACTATTTGGATGTGAATATCAATGTCTTTACCAGTATTTCATTGATAACGACAAACTGATTGATTGATTTTTATGAATTTATTTCTTCATTCATTCATTCAGTCCATACATTTGATAAACCAATTGGACGGCAACCGTATGGCAACTTAATTGTCAGAATAGCCGATCCAATAGTCCGTTATTTATATGTTTAACGAAAATTCATTCACCGATTCCCACTTCAATCGCGTATACTTAATGGTTACCAATGTCTGGCCACTGTTGTACTGATAAAACAGTTGGCAGCCGTGGTATACAAGTAGTAGTGAACCGAACACTAAAAACATTACAATTTTGAAAACTGTCCGACGTTTCTGTTTGACACTCATTTCCATCCAATTCTTCTTCAACTTATCCATCAGTGGTTCAGTAGTTTTGATTACATCAGACATTTAGCAATTGAATTAAAAATATATTATTTATAACTTTTTATTAATTTTTTTAATATACATATATTATTAGTTCACTTAAAAAAAAAGTAGAGATCATCAAAATTTATTATTACAAAAATTAATTATTGCCATTATCTATATACATGTTACCTATAATATTAAACGATAATAATATATAATTTCTTTTAGTTATATAAAATTAGTTATAATAATACTATTAAATAATTATATATCATTAATATTTCATATCATATATTCTTAAACCATTTTGACTTTAATACATCAGTTATTTTCCATCGTTTGTCTTCATCATATACTATCAAATGGTCAATAACTTCGCGTACGTTTCGACTTAATTTATCAATAATTAGCTTATCATATAATTTGTCGACATATACGGCACCTCCTATTCTCAATTTATTCAATTGTTTGATAGCCGGACAATAGCCAAACGGTAACTTATTATTTAACATTGTAAACAACGTTACGCCCATTGACCAACAGTCGGCCGCAACCGGGTTATACCCTTGACAAAGCAATTGTTTTGGTGATATATAGGCATCGGTACCGCAAATCGTATGAGAAATTTCAATTTGATTGGTTTGCTGAGACAACGAATATCTGGCCAAACCAAAGTCGGCCAGTTTTGCCAAATCATAGTTATTAAACAATAAAATGTTATCCACTTTGATGTCTCGGTGAACAAAACCCATTTCATTGTGGATATAGTTCAATGCATTTGAAATCTGTTTAAACCATTTGCCGGTAACATTCTCGCCGATCGGACCGTTAGATTCCAAATATTTGCCGACATCTTTGTTGTCCGCAAACTCCATAAACAGAAAAATCTTTTGATTTGCACGAAAGGCGTCAAACAATTTGATTATATTCGGGTGTTTAAACTGAATTAAAGCGGCGATTTCGCGACATATTTCCACATCCTGTGTACGTTTGCCAACCCGACGCAAGTCAATAACTTTTACCGCCCGAACCTCTGTTTCATTATACAGTGATTTGTATACATCACCAAAAGAGCCGACATTAATCAATTGTAAAATACGGTATCCTTTATCTATAAAAACATTAACAGTCTGTTTGTCAAATTGATTTGGTGTCGTCATTTTATATACACAAACAGATAGATATAACTCAAAAATAAAACAATAAATTTAAGGACACAGTTTGGGATAATTTATTCAATAATATAGTTTATTAAATGTTATTAAATAAATAAACGGTTTGAGCGCTACAACAATTAAAATATCAAATTAATAAATCAACTGTCAGTTTTTAAAACTAATCCATTGTTTAAACGATCAAAACTTACTAATGCTCAACACATTATTATAAATGTAGATAATGTTATATAAATTAATTAAATAATTAATGTGATAATATTAATAATTATAATATAACTTTTAATATAATTTTTATTGTATTATTTATATATTAATAAAAATTGTCAAAAACGCAAGATTCAATGAAAATATTATTACAAACAAAATATTATAATAATTTATAATAAAACTTTTATATTTAATTATAATTATAATATAACTTTTAATATAATTTTTATTGTATTATTTATATATTAATATAAATTGTCAAAAACGCAAGATTCAATGAAAATATTATTACAAACAAAATATTATAATAATTTATAATAAAACTTTTATATTTAATTATAATTATAATATAACTTTTGATATAATTTTTATTGTATTATTTATATATTAATAAAAATTGTCAAATACGCAAGATTCATTGAAAATATTATTACAAACAAAATATTATAATAATTGATAATAAAACTTTTATATTTAATTATAATTATAATATAACTTTTAATATAATTTTTATTGTATTATTTAAATGCTAATAAAAATTGTCAAAAACGCAAGATTCATTGAAAATATTATTACAAACAAAATATTATTATAATTAATAAAACTTTAATATTTACTAATAATTATAATATAACTTTTAATATAATTTTTATTGTATTATTTATATATTAATAAAAATTGTCAAATACGCAAGATTCATTGAAAATATTATTACAAACAAAATATTATAATAATTGATTATAAAACTTTTATATTTAATTATAATTATAATATAACTTTTAATATAATTTTTATTGTATTATTTAAATGCTAATAAAAATTGTCAAAAACGCAAGATTCATTGAAAATATTATTACAAACAAAATATTATAATAATTAATAAAACTTTAATATTTACTAATAATTATAATATAACTTTTAATATAATTTTTATTGTATTATTTATATATTAATAAAAATTGTCAAATACGCAAGATTCATTGAAAATATTATTACAAACAAAATATTATAATAATTGATAATAAAACTTTTATATTTAATTATAATTATAATATAACTTTTAATATAATTTTTATTGTATTATTTAAATGCTAATAAAAATTGTCAAAAACGCAAGATTCATTGAAAATATTATTACAAACAAAATATTATAATAATTTATAATAAAACTTTTATATTTAATTATAATTATAATATAACTTTTAATATAATTTTTATTGTATTATTTAAATGCTAATAAAAATTGTCAAAAACGCAAGATTCATTGAAAATATTATTACAAACAAAATATTATAATAATTGATAATAAAACTTTAATATTTACTAATAATTATAATATAACTTTTAATATAATTTTTATTGTATTATTTATATATTAATATAAATTGTCAAATACGCAAGATTCATTGAAAATATTATTACAAACAAAATATTATAATAATTGATAATAAAACTTTTATATTTAATTATAATTATAATATAACTTTTAATATAATTTTTATTGTATTATTTATATATTAATAAAAATTGTCAAATACGCAAGATTCATTGAAAATATTATTACAAACAAAATATTATAATAATTGATAATAAAACTTTTATATTTAATTATAATTATAATATAACTTTTAATATAATTTTTATTGTATTATTTAAATGATAATAAAAATTGTCAAAAACGCAAGATTCATTGAAAATATTATTACAAACAAAATATTATAATAATTTATAATAAAACTTTTATATTTAATAATAATTATAATAAAACTTTTAATATAATTTTTATTGTATTATTTATATATTAATAAAAATTGTCAAATACGCAAGATTCATTGAAAATATTATTACAAACAAAATATTATAATAATTGATAATAAAACTTTTATATTTAATTATAATTATAATATAACTTTTAATATAATTTTTATTGTATTATTTAAATGCTAATAAAAATTGTCAAAAACGCAAGATTCATTGAAAATATTATTACAAACAAAATATTATAATAATTTATAATAAAACTTTTATATTTAATTATAATTATAATATAACTTTTAATATAATTTTTATTGTATTATTTAAATGCTAATAAAAATTGTCAAAAACGCAAGATTCATTGAAAATATTATTACAAACAAAATATTATAATAATTGATAATAAAACTTTAATATTTACTAATAATTATAATATAACTTTTAATATAATTTTTATTGTATTATTTATATATTAATATAAATTGTCAAATACGCAAGATTCATTGAAAATATTATTACAAACAAAATATTATAATAATTGATAATAAAACTTTTATATTTAATTATAATTATAATATAACTTTTAATATAATTTTTATTGTATTATTTATATATTAATAAAAATTGTCAAATACGCAAGATTCATTGAAAATATTATTACAAACAAAATATTATAATAATTGATAATAAAACTTTTATATTTAATTATAATTATAATATAACTTTTAATATAATTTTTATTGTATTATTTAAATGATAATAAAAATTGTCAAAAACGCAAGATTCATTGAAAATATTATTACAAACAAAATATTATAATAATTTATAATAAAACTTTTATATTTAATAATAATTATAATAAAACTTTTATATTTAATAATAATTATAATATAACTTTTAATATAATCTTTCTTATTATTTAAATGCTGATAAAAATTGTCAAAAACGCAAGATTCATTGAAAATATTATTACAAACAAAATATTATAATAATTGATAATAAAACTTTTATATTTAATTATAATTATAATATAACTTTTAATATAATTTTTATTGTATTATTTAAATGCTAATAAAAATTGTCAAAAACGCAAGATTCATTGAAAATATTATTACAAACAAAATATTATAATAATTGATAATAAAACTTTAATATTTACTAATAATTATAATATAACTTTTAATATAATTTTTATTGTATTATTTATATATTAATATAAATTGTCAAATACGCAAGATTCATTGAAAATATTATTACAAACAAAATATTATAATAATTTATAATAAAACTTTTATATTTAATTATAATTATAATATAACTTTTAATATAATTTTTATTGTATTATTTATATATTAATAAAAATTGTCAAATACGCAAGATTCATTGAAAATATTATTACAAACAAAATATTATAATAATTGATAATAAAACTTTTATATTTAATTATAATTATAATATAACTTTTAATATAATTTTTATTGTATTATTTAAATGATAATAAAAATTGTCAAAAACGCAAGATTCATTGAAAATATTATTACAAACAAAATATTATAATAATTTATAATAAAACTTTTATATTTAATAATAATTATAATAAAACTTTTATATTTAATAATAATTATAATATAACTTTTAATATAATCTTTCTTATTATTTAAATGCTGATAAAAATTGTCAAAAACGCAAGATTCATTGAAAATATTATTACAAACAAAATATTATAATAATTGATAATAAAACTTTTATATTTAATTATAATTATAATATAACTTTTAATATAATTTTTATTGTATTATTTATATATTAATATAAATTGTCAAATACGCAAGATTCATTGAAAATATTATTACAAACAAAATATTATAATAATTTATAATAAAACTTTTATATTTAATTATAATTATAATATAACTTTTAATATAATTTTTATTGTATTATTTATATATTAATAAAAATTGTCAAATACGCAAGATTCATTGAAAATATTATTACAAACAAAATATTATAATAATTGATAATAAAACTTTTATATTTAATTATAATTATAATATAACTTTTAATATAATTTTTATTGTATTATTTAAATGATAAAAAAATTGTCAAAAACGCAAGATTCATTGAAAATATTATTACAAACAAAATATTATAATAATTTATAATAAAACTTTTATATTTAATAATAATTATAATAAAACTTTTATATTTAATAATAATTATAATATAACTTTTAATATAATCTTTCTTATTATTTAAATGCTGATAAAAATTGTCAAAAACGCAAGATTCATTGAAAATATTATTACAAACAAAATATTATAATAATTGATAATAAAACTTTTATATTTAATTATAATTATAATATAACTTTTAATATAATTTTTATTGTATTATTTAAATGCTAATAAAAATTGTCAAAAACGCAAGATTCATTGAAAATATTATTACAAACAAAATATTATAATAATTGATAATAAAACTTTAATATTTACTAATAATTATAATATAACTTTTAATATAATTTTTATTGTATTATTTAAACGCTAATAAAAATTGTCAAAAACGCAAGATTCATTGAAAATATTATTACAAACAAAATATTATAATAATTGATAAGAAAACTTTAATATTTACTAATAATTATAATATAACTTTTAATATAATTTTTATTGTATTATTTATATATTAATATAAATTGTCAAATACGCAAGATTCATTGAAAATATTATTACAAACAAAATATTATAATAATTGATAATAAAACTTTTATATTTACTAATAATTATAATATAACTTTTAATATAATTTTCATTGTATTAGTTATATGCTAATAAAAATTGTCAAATACGCAAGATTCATTGAAAATATTATTACAAACAAAATATTATAATAATTGATAATAAAACTTTTATATTTAATTATAATTATAATATAACTTTTAATATAATTTTCATTGTATTAGTTATATGCTAATAAAAATTGTCAAAAACGCAAGATTCAATGAAAATATTATTACAAAGAAAATATTAT